TCATGATGAAAACTTACCTTGCCTTGTTTAATTGAAGTGCAAAAATGCCTACCTTTTGAAGTGATGGCTTGGCCAAGTTCCCCTTCTCTCATGGCCTCACATATGACAACTGGGCAGCCTGGGAGGTGGCCGATCACTGAGGCTACCTCCCTGTGAGTTGACCTGAGTTGTACATGGAGCTGCTCCCTCCCCTCCTGCTCCCTTGGCCTCTCAGCATGGATCAGCCCTGAGGCCAGCATGTTAGCATTGGTGTGGGGAAACAATCTTCTTCAGTGGAGATTTGAACATCTCCATCTTGCCCATGAATTTGATAAATTCATCCAAGGACAAGAGGTTTGCATTTTCCCCTTGCATATGTTTCCTGTGGATGGCTGACAGCTGGTCAGTATAGCAGCAAGAGGTGCAAAGCTTCTCCCAGTAAAGCTGTAGAGTTTCAGCTGTGCAAGCAATGACGTGAATCACCTCCAGGGTGACTTTAATCCAACAGAGCAAGGAGTGGAATAAAAATACTGTGCTTATCAGCTGGGAGGTCATCTGGAAGTTGCACATAGCCTCTTTTCCATGTTTTTTTATTGCCTTTTGGCTGGCTGTGGGTCTGACCCACAGTGCTGTTTCTGACAATGGACAAGGATAATGACTTTACCTCTTGGTAGTTGTTGAGGCTGGAGCTTGTTCTGGCAGAATATGGCCTCCGCGGATGAACAGAGGGATCTTGTTCAGTGGGGCGTAGACAGTAGCATATGTCTTGTGCCAGGTACTTGGTATCTTCTTACCCTAACATAAAAATTGGAGCAGTTAAAAAAAAAAAAAAACACAAAACTGGGCAATAATGTCATCATATTTTGCTGGAAAAAAGACCAAGGGATATATTTTCATCTCAAATACACAAGTTTGTCTCACATAGAGACAAAAGGAGATTTCAGGAGTGTTATTCCAGTTCCTTTTTTTGAACATGAAAGAGAATTTAGCCCCTGCAGTGATGCATATGCATGAAGACACAACCATCATGAATGAAATCGTCTTTAAAAACGGTATCATTACTCTGTATGCTGTGGAAAGAAAAAAAAAGAAAAACTCATCAAGGCACAAAGCAAAAAGCAAAAGCAGCCTTTGCTTCGTCTTTTTATGCATATGGAAACTATCACATTTCAGTGTAAGGTGAGTGATTCATAATCACTGGGGAATGTAAACTGTAGGTTTTTCTTCTCTTTTAAGGACAAGCCTTTCCTATTACATTTGAAGATGGAAACTGTAGGCAACTGGAATTAATCCTCTCCATCATTTCTTTCTGTTTTAATCCGTCCAAACCAGGTGTCAGTAGAGTAGGTCACAAGAGGACTTGCCTCCTGTCAATGGTAATTACAGCTTACGGTTATATCCAGCCTTGCTTCTGGACAAGAACTGTGGTACAGCAAACAGGTGCCAAGTGCTAGGAACTGCACTTTGATAACACATTGTGCATGCCCCACAGGCAGGAGACACTGAGTGCATCACGACGATGTCCCCCTGCCATCCCCAGGGATGAACAGCAGCAAGGAGGACTGAGCAAAATGGTCAACCCCACAGCACCATGGCTTTATGAAAGTAGAAAAGGGAAAGAGCTGGATGAACATCCCTCTGAGGACACCAGCCAAATGCTGCAGATACCCAAAGCAACACTAGTTAAAAAATAAGCCTGAATTTCCTTCCAGAACATCTCTGTCCTTCCTGTTCCTCAGACAGCACAGCCCAGGGTAGCTAGCAGCAACCTTGTGCTCCTGGGTTCAGGTTTCCAAAGCTTTTACCATCAATCTAACTACTGCTAAGCCCAGTGCTGGTATCATCTCATGTATTTCAGCAGAGCACAGCTCAGAACTGAGCCCTTTGGGAACCACAGCACTGGGGTTGGCATTTGAGCGATCAAGCTGTGCAGGACCTGGAGCTACAAGGGCTGGCTTCTTCCATGGAGCAGCTCAGCCTGCACCTCCTGGAAGCATCTTCTGGAGGGAGCCTCATGATGCTCTGTGAATATGCCTTCTGTCAAGAATGATGCATGTGCAAAACCCTGTGCACAAAACTGTTGGCAGCATGTTCTCAGGTTTCTGTCTGTTTTTACACAGGGGAGGATTTGGGTACAATAATTTAAGCATACAGTGAGGGTGAACAGAAAGAAAAGAAATCTTGACAGTGTCATGAATTTCTAGGCTGTTCTTGAAAAGTCGGTTCTCTGAGTCTTTAGAGCTTTGCAAACCAAAAATAGAAAACAAAGCACTACTGAAAGCAGTGCAATTTGTTCTCCCAGCTAGCCTGGTGCCAACTGTTGTGCTCCGGTTTTCTTAAACACAGATGCTGAGATAAAATTACTGCTGAACATTGCTAAAAGTTATTTTGCTGGATTTGTGACATCTTAAGTTCTGTAAAAATGTAGGAAACAGAATTTTAAAAACACTTACTGTGTAGTAGTCAAACCATGTTGCCTCGGGGAAATACACATCCACTGATCTCGCTCCCTGTAATTGTTATAAGATGATTAAAGTCTGTCTCTTTTTACATTTCTGATATTACATTAGCTTTATTATATTTGAGCATGGGTAGATGTACACTCAGTCCTCTAATAACATAAAATCTTAGCTATGAAGGCTGAATTATTATCACAGCAATGGACTGGTGCTGGCTGATCTATAATGCTAAATAGATGACCCTATCCTGTCTGGGGGGTTTTACTGCATTTCTGTGGGATGAGTCAATGTTAGAGGGTTATTTCAGCCTGGAACACAGCTCCATGGCTTGCAGACATAAGACCTGAACAATGCCAGTGGGCCCTGTGGCAGGCTCTGCAGGGCCCACTGCCTGCAGGAGCAGGCAGAGAGAAAGGGCTGCAAGCAGGGTGCACAGATGCTCGCCTTATTAGCAACCGTTTAAAGTTGTAGATAAATTATATTAGAGAACGAACTGCTATTTGCACAACTGCCACACTTTATTTGGCAGCATGAATGGTATCATGTTAATATATAAAATGAAGCCAAAGGCACTTAAAATTAATCACTCTTGGAAAATTCAGAATCAAAGCATATTTCTTTTTTGGGGCACAAGCTGCTCATTCTCACAAACAGACTGACTTTGTTTCTTGAATCAGATGCTTGCTTTACAGAGTTATGGTCCTTCCCTGGGAGGAGATGAACAGTCAAGGAAAAGAGCTGTGAGATGGCCACTGCTCACCATAATAGGGATTGTTTTTCATATCAACCAACAAAAGGATGAAGAAAAGGCTGATTTGTTAATGCATGCAAATCTCATATTAGAAATGGCAATTGCTAAACTGGAAGAGTGTCCTGTCCTTTGCCTGCCTCCCACAGCAAAAGTGCTGGATGCTCAAGGGACAGTGTCTCAGCTCTGCAAGCAGTGTGGGGTAGCATACCCTGTCTGCTCATCAACTGACAGCTGAAAAGGTTTTACACACCTTGAAAGATTGAGAGAAATCTCAATAAAGTCAAGATGCTCCTCTCCCCAGATTTACTCAGCATTATTACAACAGCTCTGGATATTCTGGCTGGCAGAGGAGTGTGCGATTGCCATCTGACTCTTAATTGCCTTAGTGAGGCCCTAAGTAACAACCAGTGTGTAAGAACATTCCCCATTTTCATTGTGATGGCTGTGTCCCTATGCCTCAAGGAGCAGAGGGAAAGCCTCTGCTCTAACCTCTGTACCCTCTAACAGAAGATGTATCTGTCTTCTCCAGGTGAGTGTGTGCCCTGTTGCAGCCACTGGTGGCTGGTGACACCACGGTGAAGGATCCGCAGGCTGCCTCTGCCCTGTGCCCTGCTTGTGGGCACAAGCCCTGGTGCCACCATATACCCAGCGAGGTGTCGTTCCCAAAGCACTGCTTCCCCATAAGGCCACCAGCACCAGGCCTTCTTTTCTGCTGCAGTCCTCCAAAAACATGAAGAACCCCTAATCTAGATTCTCTATCATTTTACATATCCTTATAACGATCCTTTTTATTTAATTATTTGCAGGAAGCAATCTCTGGCTCATTGCCCTCTTTCTCCCACATTTTTTATCACCTTGCTGGTCTGAGACCCTGTGAAATCTCTAGTCACTAGCTATTAGAAACCTGGGGGAACCTGAAGATGAAGGACTGACAAATGAAGTGCCACAGAGGAGCTGGAATGAAGGAACTAGAGTTGCATTTTAAATTCACAGAGGTGCAAGGGTGATATTAAAAAAATGTGCCAAGCAGTGGCTTGCTTATGTGTTTGATCATCAGCATCAGGTAGGAAGCGTCTCAGATATTCTGGCAGCATACTGATCACAAATTGCTCCAGGATACATCACATGGAGGTGCTTGCCCTGCTCAGCTACACACTGCTGGCACTCCTGTCAGGCTGCACCCTGCTAGCAGCCATCAGCAGGCAAGGAGAGGAGCCCTCCCTTGCTCCAGCTGAGCAGTGGGAGTAAACCCACCTGCAGCTCTGTCCTGGGGTCCAGGGCAGCAGCTACTCCCCAGCCCCAACGTGTGGCCAGCACAGTCACAGGAAAACGCTGGGTTTTTGAAATCTGGTATATCAGCAGCTGACGTTGTCATCATTTTGTGATGATTGTGTTTGCATGTGGTTCTGGGTAATACCTAGACTGGCACTTGAAATGCTGCAGTTCCCAAACACAGTGGGCAAGAAGTGAAAACGAAACCAGTTTGTTTTAGTACCTCTGTGTTTCTCCCTCACCCAACAATTACTGCTGTGTGTGCCCTTGGAAGGAACTACCAGCACAGATGTAGGAGTGTGAGGGACAGTGTCCAGCCTGTTTACACCTGCCTAGTGCTCAGCAGCAGGGAAATGCTGTGCCCTCACCTGCACCCTCCCACTTCCAGCACCAGGCAGCTCTACATTACTTGGGCTTGTCTTGAAATGCCTTCTGCAAGCTGACAGAGCAAGGAAGAAATGGGTAGATATGAGGAAACATTCCCTGAATGTCATGGAATGCCCTAAGCAGATTTCTTTTATACTTGTGTGATGGCATTTTTAAATTATGCTACTTGCCTCTTGAAGAACAGGAGCAACCATAAATGCAGGTCCCCAAAGGAAGGCAGTATCTATCCCATGAGTCTGCTGATCAGAGGTAAATCTGGTGTCAAAAGAGAGACACACGGTGTTAAATCACATTTTTATCAAACTTGCAACATGTCTCAGTATTACTGTCTGCCACAAGAAATCTGCTTCCTTAATGTTGGAGCAGCACTGAGTCCACTTCCAGGCCTGGTAGGATGGAATGCAGCTGGCACACTGCACAGGGGAAGGCTGGCTTTGGGCTCGTGGAAGCCACAGACCAGGAAGAGAGAGGAAAGAAGAGGCAGAACACTGTGCTCTAGGACCTAATGCATTTGAAAAAAAAAACAGCTTGGATTCTGCCAGGACAAGAACCCAGGGGCACACGCTGACACACAGAAGTGCCACCTGAACACTGGGAAGCACTTGTGTGGCTGAGAGCTGGCACAGCTGCCCAGAGAATGTGGATCTCCTCCTGAGAGGTGCTCAGAAGTCACCTGGACTTCAGATTTCTGAAATGCAATATGTTAGTTTTTCTGTCCTCTCAACTTCTTCTCAGTGTTTTTAATTTCACTGTAATAAAATTAGAATATTGTTTCAATGCATTATGTTGTGAGAGGGGAAAATCTGATCAAGAAATACTGACAGCAGGGAAGCCAATCATTGAGAAGAAGCATCTCACCATCTCACTGAGCATCACTTCCTTTTGCAATTACAGCAACCACAAATTCAGCAAACAAATGAATTCTCCCATTTTGAAAATATAAGCCATTAAGCGCAGCGTGTTTGTGATCTATGAAAGATGCTGCATTCCATCTCCATGCTTCCCATGGTTAGATAGCAGCCTCTCTGCTGTTTTACTTCCCCCCTGGTGGGCTATTAAGCAGAGCTTTCCCCTCCAGGAGCACAGTAATGGATTATTACCCCCAGGTCTTTTTGGACAGCCAATCTGCCAGCATCTCTGGTTCACCAAATGAAATCCTCTGCATGAGGCACTTAAAACATACACAGGAATCTACTGGGATTCTGTTCCTGTTTGTTGTTTGAAATGAACACCTAAATGTTTGAAATGAAATGAAAAATCTGAAATGACCGCATGAAATAGGTATTGCTTGGAGACTCTCTGCCTGGCCAGAGTTGTTTTCATAGTGAGGGCTGTGAACTCATAACAGCTTCACCTGAAGAGCTAGTACAGTTTTCTTAGTTGTCCTCTGTTTGTTACAAGAAACAGAAAGATTTGATGTAAAATTCCATCATCTGGACCTCAAAAATTCTGTTTCAGTTCTGTCTCTAAAGCCCACATTTCTCCATTTGTTAGCATCTCAGTCACTTTCTTTGCTTGCGCAGACCTAAACCAAGGAGCCTTAATAAGAAATGGTAAGAAATACTTACTAAGTAACAATAGTAATCACTACTAAGTAATGACAGTAAGAAATATTTTTAAGCAATTTCAGGTTCCAGCTACAGCAACATCAGCAAGTGATACGGCCACTGGGATGGGACCTGGATAGTAAAAGTCTGTGCTGATCTCCTGATCTCTGCACTCCCTTCCTGCATTTTAGAGGTTTTACTTCCAGTAAAAATCTCAGTCTGGTACCACAGCTAAATATCAGCTAATGGTGGGAGTACATCTTCTGGCATAGTCTCACTCAACAGGAGTTTCAGCTGGTGCCTCTGAGGCTGTTCTACAATTGAAATAAAAGCAAATTTATAAATTCAGTAATTTAGATGAGCTCAAGTAGAGTACAGATAAAATATATAGGAAATGGGCAGATGGGCAGCCTTAACATCACTGAAGTCATGCAGTATTAGCAGAGATTAGCTAATATAATTCCCAAAGTAAGTTGGTCATTCCCAATATTCACATAAATCTGATTAACCAAACATACTGTTAAAATGAGTCCTTGAAAGAACATAAAACCCCTTGTAAGACAGGAGTCCCCATCAAACTGCTCTCAGATGTTACCCTCTTCAATAATGTAGCAGGCTGAAAAGAGGAAGGATACTGCCTTAAAACCAATCAGTTAGCCATTACACTGAGTAGGCAAAATAGATTTTGTGCATTATCATTCCGTATTAGCATGTTCTGCACTTTAGAGTAATCTCAGTTTAATTTGCAAAAATGCCTTACCCTTTAACCAAAATGTTTTTAACCTAAGGGGAAAAGGAACATTAAACAGACCAGGACATAACCTGCACTGATAAGACTGAACTGTGGCAGAGCTCTGGGCAGTACCCTTTCACATGCATTATTTGCTCTCCTTTTGCTCACGACTTTGTGTAAAACATTCTGAAAAAGAAAATTTACCAAAGGAAGGTAGAAAACAAATTAAGGGTTCCAAGAGGGAAACTAGACATCACTTTCTTCCAAAAAGAAAAAAGACCAACCTCAGTTCCAAAAACTGAGGTTGCATTTTCCAAGGTTTTTTTCAGCATGTGTTTATTAATCTTCTCTGTGCACCTGCTTCTACACTTGAATGTTTCTATCTCTGTTTTCTATGTGCCATTTGTGGAAACAGATGTAGGTATCACACATAGCATGCAGATGCAAGTGAGAAATTGGAAAGTGCAAATACCATGGATGACTGGAAAATGGAGCCTTTTCTCCATGAGGCTTTTCTGATATTCTGTGTCAGAACACAGATGTCATTCATTTGATTCAAGTGCAGAAAATATAGGTATTTGACCCTAACTTTAAAAGAGAGGGCTGCATATTTGCCTAAAACTAGAACTTTATTACTAATTCACTAAGGTCTTTTTTCAGTAGAAACAAATATAGGCAGTATTTTAATATGCATATCCATCACATATATTAAAAGTTCTTTTTGTTGCATATATTTAGATTAGATTTCCCTTTTAAACTGTTCTTTTTAAGAGAAAGCAGACAATGATCTTGCCGTCATTATTATCAGGCAGGAGTCAATTTGCTTATACACAGAAGCTCAACTACTGTGAGTAAAATGGATAAAGACAAGAGACTCCAAACTTACTCATGCATCAGTGACCGTACCACCGTGTTGCCATGGACGTGAGACTCAAAGAACAAGGTGTAGAGGTATGGCAGCAGGGAGTATCTGATCCGGAGCGCAGCTCGAGCTATCTTGGCAAACTCTGCTCCAAAGACTGCTGGGTCTTGAGCCTGTGAAGGAAAAGCTTTGATTTGCAGTGAGCGTTACAATAATGGATGCAAATTCAACAGAGAATCCTGCGTGCACCCGAAGGGAAATTGTTGCTGGTATAATCCTATCATTATAGCGAATATTTTTATAAGCAAAGGTGATGATTTGCAAATGGGAAGATGTGTAAAGAACTACAAGTGTGCTCTGGTACAGAGAAAGAGAAACAGAGGAAAAAGAGAAGGCAGGTAGCCTGCAAACAAGGGCAGAAACGTAATTATTTTATAAATATTTTTGTACAAGGATGAAAAGTGGGAGTAAATTCATGGCCTTGCAAAAGCTAATGGGAATGACCAAAGTTGCTGTGTGCAATGGGGAAAAATCTCCAGTCTTACGAACCTCAGCTTCAGTTCTCCTCCTGTGCCCATTGCTTTGGGTGCCCCACGCAGACAAATGTTCTCTGGAGCAAGAGGGGAATGAATGCTGGATCCCACCATCAGGCGGACATTTTGGATCCATTTAAAAACCAAACTGTTCATCCACTGCCACTTGACATGGAGCACACAGCCCATGGCAGTGCCAGTGCCAGGAAGAGCTGCATCTCCTCTAATCTCCTTGTCTTAACATCACCAGCCCTAAATTGGGCTTACCAATAAGGCATCAAGCTCCCTTCTGCCTGCACAAAATTCCCTCATGAGATTCAGTTTGCTCATCCAAATCACAGAGCAAATAACACATTCCGAGGATAATGGAACAGAAAGTTCCAAAAGAGGAACAGAAGTACTGGAGCATTTTGTACTATCCAGTACTTTTCAGTCAAGAAGAGTATTAACTAAACCATTTGAAATCCGCAGTGGGATAGGCAAGGTGGATGTTTATGGTTTTATTTTGACATCTAACTTAATGCTAATTAAGTTCAATGTTTAAGTTAAATTTCTCCATAACTATGTCTATATCAGAATAATCTTTCCTGCTGCCTCTGAGCTCTGGAGCACCCATCTACTTCTTCAAAGCTTGCACTGTGTTGTTGCTGTTGTAAGTCTAACACTGTATGAATATTGCCAAAGTTCAGGAAAAAAACAGATCTCTGAGGTGGTGCTGAGTCACCAAAACGCCGTGTTCATTTCTGTCAGAGAACACGATGTTTTAAATGGCTTTAAGTGGTCCAATAAAATCCAGTGTATCCTCTGACACTTCTGTCATTAGGTCATAGCTGAGTCGCAGCTCTCCTCACTTTTCCTATTAAATTGCCTATTAAGTCTTGAGAATGTTAATAATGCTCACTCACCTGGGTCACATCCCACTTTGCGTGCCCGAAGGGACAAGTGAACCTGCACAGATAAGGGGCCTCTAATTTTAGTAAACAACAGTAAATAGAAAATAGTTATCTGTAACAGCACCTAAAGCCCCACAGCCACTCTTTCTCCTAGAGAGAAATACCAGCACATCTCAGGAATTATTGCAGATGACAGGTGCATGGGAACTGCCAGGTCATGGCCTGAACCAGTGGTTGAGCACCAGGTGAGAGGCATGGCTAACACGGGGAGCTAACCCCTCCTCACTCTCATTTAGGAGATAGCAGCATCTCTGGATAGAGATTACACTCTTCTTGAGCTGTCACAGCTCATCAGGAAGGGTGAGCTACTTCTTCTTTGTCATCTTCCCTGACTCCACAGTGCTTACACCGCAGAAGGCACTGCTATTGCCTTCTGTTGTTCCACAACAGAGTAAGTTCCGATCCTCTTACACTGTAAGAGCATAAGAGCACTGTAAGTTAATGTTCCTGCTTTGCCCTGCTTCTGGATGGACATCATACTGTCATGCAGAAGTGGCCTTTCTGGGAGTTATAAACATTACAACATTTTGATCACAGGGCTGTGAAGAAAATGGAAGGTTAGCTCATAATCTTAACCCCAATATTGCACAGATCGGTTTACAGAAGAAAAAAGTAATAAAAGGGCAGTTACTGAACTAGCACAATATTTCCATCAAAGCTGCATGTAACACAGCGTGTTTATGAAGACAGCAAGACTTGCAAATTGTTCGTAGTTAGAAACAAGATGATACTTCTATCTGAGACAAGACTTGAAAGGACCTTATGATAAGTTGAAGCCGCAGCTCAGGTCTGAGGTTGCATTATTTCATGCCAGCCATGAGCTCCTTGGCTGACAGCACTGCCACCTGACCTTGGAACTTCTAACTCTTTGTCTGAAACTTGTTTTTAAACAGCAAGGTTCGGTATAAGGACCTCTCTCCACTTATTTTCAATACCTCCTACTAAACTTGTACAAGCACTGAAACAAAAACTGACATTAGCAAGTGAGGAAAAGATGTGTGGACACTCAGCAGCTCTGAAATAAAAGCTGGGCTTCAGTAGATAAAAGATGAAAAGAATAAATCTTACCTCTACAGGGCTTCCAGATGTTAGATACTATATATTTTTTCAGAATTCCTAACTAATCTTGACATTATGGATAGGAAAAACTTGCGTCACTTCCTCTTGTCAGTGCAGCACTCCTTATTACCCAGTTAAGCTTACCCATGAATGACAGGTTAATTTCTGAGAAAGTAATACAAATCATCTTTGTCAATATAGTAGTCATAGACTACAGCTCTGCATAACTTTATTTACTTACAGCATTTCCCTCTGCATTGTGGTTTCTGGAAAATGGGTAGAAGGAACCGAGCTGCGTCCAGCGCAAACAGAGCTCGTAGGTTGTGTTGGAGCCAAACCCACAGATGTCAGCACCAACCTGAAGAGAAGATATCACTGTGTGAGTGTTTGTGATTGTGGCGGCTGAGGCCCAAAATGAGAACCCACAGAGGATTCTTAATAAGAATAATGTGTTGGAAAGAGATGCTGATTTCTGATGACTTCGTGAGAATGCTGCGGGATACGATGACACAAATTTTGCTGGGAATGAGATTTCACTGACTCCTATAGCCTACATATCATTGTGGAAGATCTGAAATATTTCAGTAATTATACAAATCCTCCAGCCCAGCTTGCAAAGTCAGAAACCTACAGAGGCACGTCAATGATAAAACACTTCATGGAATGAGGTCTGTTTGGGGTGGCACACGGTGATTTAATCTGAAGCTGGCAGTGCTATTTTTGTTTCTCTTTAAGCAGCCAAGATTGATGACATTTAGCTTTCCTTAATCTGCAGTTCCTTACGCCGTGCAGGCTGATACTGCTGGCCATCTCAAGCAGCTTATTTTAGAAAACATTTGAGTTAATTTAAAGTGATATTGGAGACGAGCCAGCAATTGCCCGAAGGACATCAGACTCACAAAGGGGATGCCAAAGAGGTTGAACTCCAGCATGCCGATGATGGAGTAGTGCATGTCCTTCCACTGCGAGTTGTTGTCACCCAGCCAGTGACCAGTGTGCTTCCCGCTGCCGACGAAGGTAGAGCGACTCAGGACAAACGCTCGCTTCCCAGTTGCCTGCTGGACAACGCTGTGGCAGAATGCAACAAGGTCATTGAAAATAAGAGCGGTAACCAAAAACAGTCATATGATCAGCGTGAGCTTTCCAGCACAATTTTATCTGAGATGGTGTTATTCTTGAAACTTTTACTACCCTGATGTGAGTCATGTGAAAGTGTGGCTCCAAAACTGTAAACAATGGAAAGTTCTACTCAATGCCCAAAGTAAACAATTAAAATCTATCTGATGCATGAAACACTTTGTGTCAGATATGTCTAGGCTTCCAGAAAACTATTTTGCACTTCAATTATTCTCAATATTGTCTCAAAGTGAAAATTTAAAAAAAATTATTTCTATATTAACTCATTTTATTTAATGTCCTACCATTTCTTAAGAAGTAAAATATATATGTATTTTTTTTCAATATAAGATTTATTTAGAGATTTGTATTGGCAAACAAAGTCCTAATATCCTGGACTTAAAAGTTAGGGCAAAAAAGAAAGAAACGTCACCAAACCAACATTTAAAATCAATACAGAAAGCAAACACATAATCTTTCAAAATGTCATCCCTTTCTTGTCCCCTGATTTCCTTTATCGTTTGATTTATGAGATTTCATTACAGAATTGGTGCCAGAATGAATTTTTCCTTGCCTTTTAAAAGTGATTTTGCTCACCATCAGAGGATGAATAAAGTACAATATGCCTTATTAACAAATCTATTAAAATGTTGATCAATATAGGATAATCTCTGTATGGAATTAGATACTGTAATACTACAGATTGCCAAAACTCAGGTTCAATTCTGCACAAAACCCCTTAAAATATCTGGGAAATCCCAGCCTGAAATATTAACCACGCTGCTTACCATCCACCTCCTTCTCACTTTGCTTAATGAGATCTGTGCAAGAGCTTTCACCCATGCTTGTAATGGCCAACACATCACTTTGTTTCTGTAGTGCCTCAAAGGCTTTAAAATGTATCAACATTTGCTTCCATAGGAAAAAAAATTACCAATCATGTACAAAACCACACCAAACTCAACATCTTCCATATAGGCTTACGAATATGATGCTTATGGGCTGTGCAGAGCAAGAGATCCAGTTCTTGGCCAAGAGGGACCTGCTTGGTTTGTGTTGTAGGGCCACCACCAAGCTCAATGACTGTATTTTTGAGCACTGCGGAGGGCAGGAATCTCTTTTTCCTCAGTCTTTTTAAGAGTGTCCTGCATACAAGTCCTCTGCTTTGTCTCTACAGTATGAATTTGGCTCTGCTTGCAAAAGTAGGTGCAGATGAGGGCAATATTGGATCAATGCAACTATGATCCAGATCTGCACAAACAATTTACAACACGCAATTTATTGGATAATTTTCAATCTATCATGAATCACTGTTGAAGTGATTCTAATGTTCTCAAATATATTTGTGGACTGAAATTATTTACAGAATATTATGTGTGAATAGCTCTTGGCCCTATGCTGTGCACAGGATGGTTGTAGCTAGTTTGTTGTATCCAGATTCAAGCCATTTGACTGCATACATGGGTGAGATGACACATTTCCTATTCTCTGGCTTCATTAGCATAATTCTTGGAATTGTTTTGTATACGATTATGAATTTGTCATTCATTTCAGCCAATATCCTACAGCTGATGCTGGTATGCTAAATATTCTTGGCTTCTTCCACTGCTGAAGGAAGTTTGGCTGAATAAAATAAGCAGCATGGGAACACGTAATATTCACCACCTTGGAGGAGGCTGAAAGACAACCCTGGTGGAGGCTCCTCCAATGGGAGAACCTTTGAGGAGATTGGGATGCCTGGGTTGCGTGGCTAGTGAGAGTAATGGCTGAGAGCTTTCTGCTCTGCTCAGTGAAGCTGGGCTGCACAGGAGCCAGCAGATTGCTTCTGGCTTTTTCCCAGAGCTTTCCTTCCCCCTGGCTTGGCACAGAGCTGCAAGTGCATCAACACCTTAAATAGGCTCACTTAGCCACCTCCCCTGGATGCCTCCACAAAAAAATTGGTACAAATGTGAGCTAAGTGCTGAAATAAACCAGCCCAAGGACCCCTGCTTTGGCACTTACATTGTGTCATTAAACATATCCATGTCTTAGCTCTTTGCTGGAAAAAGCGTGATTTGTCCATTTGATTTAATCAGTTTCCATGTCACTCCAGCCTGGCAGCTGCAGAGTCTGATTGTGCAAGCCCATTTTGTGTGCTTCCCTGTTGCAAAGGGACAGCTTTACAGTAGCCTATAACAACTCTGCTGCAATGCAGCTCAGCCATGTCCCCACAGAGCTCCAGGCAAAATGCTGCCTGCCAAGATCAGAGGCGGCTCCAACAGCAGCAGGGAAGTTGAGTATGGATCCTTCACCAGCAGCCATGGAAGCTCCTTCGCTTGGGCCACTGCAGTGAAGGGAAGGAGGAATCTCCCTGTTGCTGCTCTGGCACGGGAACAGCTCTAACACTGGGTGGGAACATCTTGCTCTCCTTGCAGGAAATAAGCAGTCGAAGAGCTAATCCTGATTTTAGCTGAGAAAAGTAAATGTGGAAAACATTCTGCTTCCTCTGCCAAGAGTCTCTTTTCTTGAAATACTTAATGACAAACAGCAATATGAAACGTGTAGCTGCTTCTTATTAGTTACTATTACAGATTTCCCAGGTAACAGCAGCTGCTTTCAAAATGTCTCACCATCACCTGAAACCCACTTGTAGAAACTCTTAGAGAACTCACTGGAAAGTTGGAGCAGTCTGTGACCAGCCAAAGAGAGAGTGGGTGTTGTAGTGCTCCCCCAGGTAAGTCCTGGAGTCGGGACACAGAGTCTTTTGAGCCAGGGAGCGATCAGTAATGCCTGAGAAGGACACAAAACATTGCATGTCACAGTTCAGATCTCTTTGTATTTCTATGCTTTTAGGAGTGAAAATGTCAAGGGACTTGGAAAGAGGAAAAGCTGAAGAACTGCAGGATCTGCACCAATTGGAGATTAGCACACAGCTGTAGGCACAAGTGTTCTGACAGTATGGAGTAACACCTACTAATGAGGCTCAAATTCTATGTCCAGTAATTCAGAACATCTGTACAGGCATCATGTAGCCAGAGAGAAAACTTCTGCATTGCTAAGTTAAGAATAGGTATATATACTCTTCACATAGTTACAGATTTTCCATAATAGCAAGGAAAAAAGTAGTTAAAAAACCAAAATCATCACAGAAATTCAGATGCCAAGGGAACTTGTGTGTTCACATGAAATCATGACATCCAGGTTTGGATTAGTGCTCAGCTGCACATGTTGGTAGGCAGCATGACCCTGCCCTACTGCGGCAAAATTCATGGCTCTTTTTTCCCCTGAAGACTTAGGAGGCAGCAGGACTGATGGAACAGCCCCAGGCAGCTCGTGAGCAGGGAGCAGGGCTGTCAGGGCTGTAAAGGGGAGGGAATAGCATGAGATGCAGCAGTCCTTGGGAGGCCATCTGCTATGGCTTGACACTGCACGGAAGAGAGCAAGGACAGATTATAATGGATGTATTCACACGTGGATGGGTTATGCAGTAACTCTCCATCAGCAGATCACAGGCAGTGGAGGCAGCAGCAGCTTTTTGCCTTCAGTAATAGTCAGGGGCAGCCCTGACCTCGCTGGCACAGCTCCGATCCAGCTGAGCCAAAGGGAAGAAATATGAATTGGCTGCACAGATGCTGCCTGGTCTTTGATCCCACATTAAGGAGATGCTGGCAAGACCCATTTGGTGTGGAAAATGTGATTCTCATCCTCTGCAGGTAGCCTCCCTGAAAATGCCGTATGCAATTCAGCAGGAATTGGGCAGGTCAGACATTTGGGTTATATACTGGATTTATTTTTAGAGATGGAGTTGTCAGTGTTACAAAATCCTCTACCTCCCAAATAAATAAATAAGAGGCTGACAAATAGACCTCCTTTGCATGCTTAAATGAGTGCAAGCATTATTGTAAATATCTATCAGTGAGCAGGAAACTTCAATGCCAAATCACACTTCACTGTATGTTTGTAGTTCTTTACTACAAAGCGCATTTCTCTGCACCTGAAACCTCATTAGGCTGGGTCACCAATGCTGGAATCCTCCTCTTTGAATCTTTAGACAAAAAGGCTCCAGTATGGCTGATCTGCTCAGAAATACTTTAATTTGTAGGTAATTTCCAAGAAACCCTTACTGGAAGAGCATTAAAGAATACACTGAGGTTCTGGGAAAAGTTACACTTAATGTCCCAGTGACACTCAGTTATGAACCCTGTAAAACGAGGTGGGATATGAAAGCAAATGCTGCCACGTAATATCATATCTTTGTGTTTCATTCCTATTCTGAATACTTTTCATTCTGTCTCAGTAATATAGATTGCACATTAATCTCCACTGTAAAGTGTTTTATAGAAAATTGATTTGAAGGACTTCTGTTTTTAGAAGGTCAAACCATGGGTCCAGGTGATTGTGGTTATGATATAGAAAAGGAAACTGAAGGCTGCCTTGCCAAACACCTGAGACACTGCTGCAGGCTCAGGTGCCCACCACAACAGTGAGCTCCAAAAGCCCTGCTTAGGGAGCTCCTAAGTTCTTGTTGGACTGGGCTGCCCAGGTCCCACCACCATATACCTGCTCTGGACAGAGGTGTGGACAGCTGAGGGCAACACAGTGTTGGCATAAAGTGGAACACCATAAGAAGCACTTAAATATTGATAGAAAACATCAGGTAACAGCTCTCCCACACCTTGGAATAAATGCCTCAGGCTTCTGTCTGCAGAATGAAGACCAACACTGTGAACTGCAAGAAGGAGGAGGTGCATTTGCACAAGCGAACTTGATCAAGACCCACAGTGCTGAAAGATGGCCATTGCAACAAATAGTTTCCCCCAAAAGGGAACAAACATCTAAATCATATTTTAAAGCTCTGCTTCTGATTTCAATAATTTATGATGTTTTTATTAATTTATGTCATGCTTTAGTTATATTTAAGTTTCTCTTGTACACTGAGTGAAGAGAAATGAGCTTTAATAAATAAAAGGAAGAATTCACGTGACATTACAACAACCTGAAGAGGAAAAAAGGACATTTCCAGTACTGCACTGTCAATACCTCATTTATGTCCCAGTTTCCTGTTGTACCTTAGCCTTGATGAGGCAGCAGAGCTATCTTAGGGAAATGTTGGCTGGATTCAAGCGAGGAGCACTGGCACTAATTATAAGCACTCAGGGCTTCCAGGGGGAGAATGAGCATGCCATTATCTCTGCTACTGTAAGAGGTGTTCCCCTTCTTAACAGACTCCCATAGGCCTGGGCATTTTAAAATTTAATTTTAGCCTATAGATCATGTCTAATAAAGGACTGTTTTTTGTGGGTTTTTTTTTTCCTGAAAGAAAAAATAATTAAGGTATCAGGGGTATGCAACCTTTTTTGTCATGAGTTGTAGAAAAGCCAGGAACTGCCCAGCCCTTGGACCCTCAGTGATGGTGGCAAGACAGGGGAGTTCCTCCTTCCGTAAATCTCCATCTGAGTTTATAGTTATTTTGCCCTTTCTATGGAGAAGACCTGTTGCTCAGAGAATGTCAGGGAAGGCCATTTTTCAAGCTCTGTTGGAAGGCTGCTCTGGTAACCAAACAAGGTATTTTTGGTACTGTGCTAAAGCTGAGCCAATTGTGTCCTGAATAAATCTGTAGTACTGCACTTGGGAAAAGAGAAGAAAGAAAATTTTCCTAAGAGTTTATGAAAGAGATTTGCAAAAAAGCTTTACTCACTAGGAATGTAAGGAGGGTTATTGATATCATTAGCAGCACATCCAGGAAGTTGGCCTGTTAAGTCATTGGATGGTTCATTCATATCCTTTAATAAAAAGAGTAAGACATGTCAAAAGCCACGTTTTCTGTTTTGAAAAGAAGGGAAGGAAAATATATTCAGACTTACAATCCAGATCCCATCGTAGTCAAGGACATCCTTAAACTCCAGACACAACTGCGTCCACCATTCCACTGTCCTGGGGTTGGTGTAGTCAGGAAACACTGAGTATCCAGGAGGCAAGGACTAGAGTACATAGGTACAAACATCCAGATACTTTTTCATTTCTGCTATGCACCTTCTTTAACACTTTGAAACAACAGTAGATTCAGCACATAAGAGAATTTAGTAGACTCACCTTTCCAATAGCAGGAGTTATGCCATCGGAGTTGTTTATCCAGACTCCCATTTCCTGTCCGAGGTCATACGGCCTGTAAGTACCTGGTTCTTCATCCTTGCTTATAAACGGGTCCTAAAAACAGTGGTTACACTTGCTTTATTTCAGAGACGATGGTTACTTTTTCTACTTCTACATTTCAGTACAATTTGATGTTATTAATACACACTGCAAAAATGTTGGAAGAAAACAGTGTTAAAACTCAGTAAGAGTAGAGAGCACGTAATACTTTAGAAAAGGTCATTAAAGAGTTGCTGGTGTTTCTTGTGCAAGACCAAAGTTAAGTGAAGTTAATAAGTACCTTCACGTTTATTTTTACGAGATTATATTCAACAAATTTTAGAAGAGGCACCGAATTTTAATTTCCTCCCTTCTGAGGTCACTAAACTTGGCATCTCTGGATTCCCTCCAAGATAACTCCCATATCAGCTTATCCAGCTTCAGCAGCTTAGCTTTGGAACACCTAGAATATCTCAAAGAGCTTGAACTTGGGACACATCCAACCTTGTTAGTCATCTCTTCAGACCCGATGTCAACTGCAGTTGTTTTATGTCAACCCGGTGCAAAGTAGCCCAAGTCCTCCACATCAAGTGGCCAAACTTCTCTGTTCCCAACAGGTGTGAAATCACCAGCAGCTTACATCCTGCAGATCATGCCTCCTGCCACCATCGTGGCCCAAGAGTAATCACCAACTCCCATTGCTGCCAGTTACAGAGACACTGCCAGTTTCTCTGCCCCAGGATGGCCATCTATGGCCATCTAGCTCATTGAAAGGAGGCCTAAACTGTGCCTGGGTAGGATGGTGGCCTGCCATACCAGTAAGTAATAATAGTAGGAATACTCTGAGATGACAGTGAAGAACTCTGCTCAGCAGCCAAGTGGGAATAAAAGGAGGTTAGTGTGCTTAGCAGAATGCCCCTAATTGGGAGCAGCTATCTGCTTTGTATTATTTAGAATGAAGGAAGTTTGCAGCCATTTTAGAAGGGAATTCTTCCCTTTTCTCTTAGACAATGTTATCCCCTCAAGCTCTGCTTAAGGCAAAAAAACTTTCAGTTACTACACACAAGAGACAGAAATGCAGCTGAAACAATCCTTCCTTGAGCAATAATTCAAAGGAATTTTAATTAAAAAGTTATTGGAGTTTAAATACAAAACTGAAGGACAAAAAATATATGATCTCAAATGGTAATATCCTTTAAGGGCGTGCTTTAAAATTCATTTTAGTGCCTAAATTAATTGCCTGATTTACTTGTAAGCCCTATGACAGCTATAGCCCTAGTGAGGAAATTGTATTCTTCCATGTGTCAAAAACAAAAGCCCCTGCTAAACCCTCACCTTAACTGCAAAATAAAGTTCAGCTTTAACTATGTAGCTCCAACATCACTTCCATAATTAAAGAGTGTAAATGCCTATAGTGTTTTTAACTCATTGAATAGTTCAGCTTTGGAAAAGAGAAAACTGTCCATCTGCTGTAATTATCTTATTATTGTGGAAAATATGGCTCTCAAGAGACTTGAAGACTGGAAGAAATCAGCTTAATTAGCTACTCCTAATCCAAACTTCTGGTATCCTTCAGCTGAAAGGTTATTCCTGTGCATAAATCTAATATATTATGCAGGTTTAGCTATGTCCTGAAGAGAAATAAACTCTCCCAGTCCTAGTTTTGCATTCCATTGGTTGTTTATGGGAGAAGGAAGTTCCTATCCGTTAAACCATCCCTAATTCATCTTTTATCAGCTCTTAAAGAGGAGATGCTGAGCAACCATGAGCACCCTCTGACTGGCTGCTCTGAAACCTGTGGGTCCCCTAGCACTTACCCAGACCAGCACAATTTCACCTATGGCCTCAAATTTAGATTTTAACTCACATCCATAAAAACTCATTTCTGGAAATTTTAGCCTCTACAGCTCGTAGAGCTGGATTTTAAAATGTTGAAGATATTAAGTCTTGTTTTGAATCATAACCATGTTTGTACTGACTTCTTTTCTAAAAAAAAAAAAAAAAAGAAAGAAATTCTCACTCATGTAATTCCTAGCTGTTTTCATTTTTCAGTGTGTTTTAATGGAAGGTATGTAAGGTATTTAATTAGAGCTCCTCTTCAGTAATAATGTTTATAATTTTCCATTCTAATATATTTTTTTTTTACTTTCAGAACTTTTCTTTGTTTCTAAACAATACATTTGTTCTGACTCAGAATGCACCTTATTCAGCACAGTAATGATGACAAAGTACTGACACTCATGCAAAATCTCCCTTACGTGGAGGTTGCCTCTGAAATACAGCAGGAGAGAGAATTGCTGAGGGGCTACACTGAGAGCAGCCACATTGCTACCAGAGTGACCACAGGGTGGCTGCTCTCAGTGTAGACACAGAGAGCTCTCAGCATTGAATGCAAGGGGATTGGGCCTCTGGATGGTGAGGCACCAGCTGCACACCAAATAGAGATGTGCAGAATCCATTCACAGCCCTTTCACTGGTGGCTTTACATGACATGAAGTGACAGCAATCAGAGTACATCTCCTGAAATCAACATAAGGTAGCCAACAGTCTGCTGCACTTGGGCAACTTACTCATTACTGTCACTACTCAAGGAGATCTAAACAGAAAATATTTTTTTTCTGTATCAGACTGGATTATACTCGCCTTGATTGCAGTTAGAATGGCTCTCATTTGGGAACAAAACTTTTCATATTGTTCCAGCTCCTGACTCAACTTATGGGAATGACTAACAAAAATAACAGCCAAAATTTTACAGAAATAATAGTAGTTGTATATAATGAAGGAAAGGTAGAAAATGGCACTAGCAGTGCCACCTGTACTTCCCAGGAGATTTTCAGAAATGGACAGCAAATTGGATCTTGCCTATGCTTTTTCTCACAAGTGTATCTAAAGGCATGGAGCACAACACAGTCCTTGTTCACAGGTTAGTGGAGAGGGGGAAGAAGGGGGTCCTCTTAGTATTCACATGGGCTCATTGCATAATTGAAGAATGGTTACTATACTCCTTGTATCTGCCTAACTTCTGAGTTCAGATTTATATAGCAACAGCTACTTGCCATGCTCTAGCAAGCTCTGGAAGTGCTTTGAAAGCATTGTTGAAGTTCACAAGTTAGAAGATAATGTACCTCACCCATTATAATGTGACTTCACCCTTGTAGCTTCCTATACAGCAGAAAGTGCAAAACAATTGGAGACATCCTAACTGATGAGAAAGGAGTGATTACCATGTATTTACCAAAGGGCAAGAGTGTGTACAGGAAGAGCTACCCCAAACTCAGTGCTTTACTCTATATTCATGTCTCACAAACTAAAGATAACTCAATAAATAAGCAGGTAGTGTTTAAATGTTTAAACACTAAAAAGTGTTTAAAACCTCTAAGAGGCTAAGTGATCTTTAGAGAGGTGTTGAAAGATGGAGGGAGCACAAACTGCAAAGCAATTGGAAAGAGCACTCATTTCTGTGTATGTGCTCAAGTACAGATGGGTTAGCTATTTATAACGATGTATCAAGTTAATTTGGGGCTAATTTTTTCTTGAAATTGCTCTCCATCAGAGTGACTTAATAATGTTACTGTTTAAGAACTGCACCTTGGACCTCCAAGGACAGAAGCTTCCTCCAAGAATGGAAGCTTACAATGCTGCACCCCAGTACTTCTCACAATTTGCAGATGCAGTAGCACTGGGACAGGTAAGGACATGTACACTTGAATTGCTGGCAAACAGTCCCACCATAAAGGCTGCTATTTCTATTACCAAAATGTAGGTGAGCACTCAGTGTGGTTTTGTTTAAAATTCCTGTCTGTGAGTGCAATTCTAGTGCAAAAAGTTGAAAATTAAGTCAATCATAAGTACAGAGCAGGCTTTTTTTAATGAAGCTACAAGCAGACCTGTTACATTGCCAAGGAATCTGGTAACTGTTTTAAAAGGAGAAAACACTGCCATGGATCTTTGAGGTACTGCTTGGCCCATCCTCAGCATTATGCTAAATTTCCCAACAGATTTTGGAGGAAAAATAAGACCAGAGAGACACTTCTGACTTGCTATTTGGCAGAAGAATGTCATTTTTAGATTGGGAAACTGCAGAAGCTCCCAGTTACCTTAGCTTCAGGAAAGATTTAATATACCATCACCAGTGAAAAAGACACTATCCCACAGATTTGGACTCTGCTGTTCAGTGTATTTTTCCTCAAGCCTTTGAAGACAACGCCATTGATCAAGGGAAAAATATGACTTATTTTAAAAAGGCTGGATCAGTGTAGGGCTCAAACATCTGTGGTCTGCCCCTTCTCAATTCATCTGGATTAACTGGTAACGTTACAAGGATGAGTCACCAATATAATGGAGGCAAAAGTGATGCAGATCTTTGTCATATGAGGCAATTTTTCATAGAATTAAGGGAATATTACTGCCATTCTCCAAACACTGGGGGAACATTGTCTGGAGACCATGAAATCCAGGTATTTACTAGACATTCAGACTGGGGCATCTGTGAGGGAGAGCCACTACAAAGAGATCTGAAGCTCACACTCCATTGAAAGGGAGTAAAATAGCTTTGTTCATTTAAACTAGTGAAAAAGGGCTGAGGGAGAATAAGCTTCTGCAAATAAGTATATCAAGAACACAAACAGCAGGATGTGAGACTGGCAATTTGAGCTACGTAAGAACCTAATAAAAGGTATAAGCTGATCATTTAGGTTGGAAAATAGAAGGTGGGAAAAAAGACTGGAGATGTCCCTGCAAGGTCATTGCCTCCTGTGGGTCACCTCAACCTGATCATTTATTATATATGTGTTTATTTATTTATTTATAGCTGCAATTTAAGGCACTTTTTTTTTCTAATCCTGCCCCTTGTGATCACAGTGAATAGATTATGACTCTGTTCTCTTCCGCAGCACTCTGTGCCCACTTGCTCCTTTCTCTGGGTCTTAGCACCCCTGCACTTTCCCATCACAGAAATGGGAGGTCATGCCACCACCCCTGCCTTTTAGCCAGGCTGTACACTACTGTGCTGCAGTAGGGCCCTGCAGAGCAATGTCTTATGGACTCATCAAAGACTATTATTTAATTGACTCGCCACTAGCTTCCACACCACCACTGACATTTTCTGTCTCTACTGTGGAGAAAAGTAATGTCAGTGCAAGGACATCTATGGTGACTGCTGGGGGGAGATGGCAATCTTTCTGGAAAACCTGACAAGGGAAAATGGAAATCTCTGATTTTCACTTCTGCTCAAATTAATTCTTTTGAGTTTCCCTCCTTGGAGATGACCAAAGGCCATCTGGATGTGGTCCTGGGCAACCAGCTCTAGGTGTCCCTGCTTGAGCTCAGCCTTGCACTGGATGACCTCCATAGGTTCCTTCCAACCTCAACCACTCTGTGATTCTATACATCAATACTGATTAAAGGTTCAGCATACGTTTTCCACAATTTTTTATGCAAACAAATTTCTCTTACATTAATTCAGATGAAAAAAAAAAAAAAACAAAACATAAGACAACATGATTTATAGTTACTAGCTCCCCAGATTGATTGTGAGTAGATCTTTTCCACTATTCAGCTATTTCTGTCTGCATGTTAAACTCATTTGTTCATTATCAGAAAAAGAACTGCATTAAAGCAATGCTATCTCAACTCAGACCTGAAAAGAAGCAATTTTTTTCTTAGATGAGTGGAAAAAATGAAAGAAAATTGATGTTATGGTAAAGAGATAATACTGGCACACACAGGTATCTGATAAATGCAGCACATTTAAATGTGACGTCTGCTGAAATTGTTGTTCAGCTCTTCTCAATAAATGACAAAAATAGAAGATGTTCCACAACAGCCTGCACGCGTTAGCACCTGGATACTGCTATGAGCACTATGATGCAAATAATTCTTATAAATGGAAAAATAATTAGCAAGATTTTTAATTTACCAGAATAATGACACTGTGCATTCCTGCTGTCTTCAGCTCTTTGATGTACTCTGGCAGACCTGCATAATTTGTTTTGTCATATGTGAAGTCCAGGCGACGATCCATGTAGTCGATATCGAAATGCTGGACATCCTAAGCATTTTAAAAGCAAACATTGATGTATTTTAAACAGAAGATCAGAATGGGTGCAACCGTGTTCCTAGGGAATTAACCTATGAAATGAGACTTAAGAGATTGATTATAATAACCATTAATGACTGAGGCCAAATTCAGTCCCTATAAATTTATGTGGCAGCAATGGGCAAAATGGATACATGGAAGTCCTAGGTTAGCAACTACTTGGCAGTGATACGTGTCAGCTCTGCCATAGTTTGTGTTTAAAATGCCAGCACCTTACACTGCCATACACCAATAAACTGTTGTCACAGCATTAAAGCAAACCCAAGCCCAACCTACCTGCAATGCAGCCAGGAGCAGCACTTAAATCTCACATCTAAAGCCTATTCTAAACATTCTTTTGAGCTTTGTAAAGATATGTAAAGATATTGTGCAGAAGTGGCTTGTGAAACCACTACATAAAATTATGAACCTCCTTTTGTTCTACGATTCTCTTCATGGGATAATCACATTTCCTCTAATACAATTTTATTCATCTGATTTCAGAATTTCAAAATGAGCACATACAGAGGAAAACTCATACTTACAAAGGGGATGTCATAGTGATGCATGCGCTTGGCAGTTTTCTTTACCACATCGAGGCTGGCATAACCCCACCGGGACAGATGAAATCCCAGAGACCAGTAGGCAGGCATGTGCGGGCGTCCAATGGCCTAGAGCAGGAATGAGCAATACAGAAGTTCAAATGGCGAGGTGAAGATTTTAGGGAGACAAATCATCCTGAAAGGCCAGGAGAGGCTCCCAGCTCATTTAAGCCACAAGGGCCAGAATACAAGTATCACACACACTTGGAATACCCCTTACTTTCTCAGACAGCTCACTGCACCACATACTTCGTTGTAAAATGTACAATATACTTTGCTTTAACATGGGTTTAAAAACAGTTTCTCCTGGTGGACCTAACCCTTTGGTCAACAAAAGGCAAATCTCCAGCACTGCACGCAATGTCAGCTTTGCTGATTTCTCTTGCCACATCCAGCTGAACTAATTCATCTGATGTTTATTTGAGCTGTCTGAAGTTTTAATCATATTTGCACACCTCCCTGATGAAATCCCGTTGCTCATGACTGACTGCTGATATTGCTGGCCCACAGCAACGTGTTGCCAGGTGTCACCAAAGCCCCTCAAGGTCAGAGTTACCATTTGCTCCATCAAAATTCTCAACTGAAACACAGTTATGAGTTAAGTATTACTTTATAAATATTTGATTTCCACCTGCTCCATGTAATTCAGCTGCAAATTTCATGAGGAAGCTTGTTTGCAAGCAAGGGAGTGTGAGGTGTCCTATTCTGCTTGCCAGGGAAGCTGCTGGGGCAGCAAACAACAATTGTAGGTCACTCTGAGGAAGATGGTGAAACCCTCCCTTGTCTCATTGCTATACACTGCTGTTTTCTGGGGGAGATATTTCAGAATCCACTTTCTCATTTTAAACAGTTAGATCCCATGAAATTAGCTTTTGTTCAGTAATTCTAAGACCCTTGCAGGCAACACATGAAAGTCTAGTAGCTAGTAAGCACCCATGATTATTAATCAGTCACAGCTATTGACTCCCTTTGGCTAAGTAACCATTCCTCCTTTGTTTCCTTATGAATCTCCATACCTAATTATGCTAGGAAGTGGAAACAATTAAACTTGAATATTGACAGCTAAAATCCATCAACTTTAATTAGATAAAAGGATACACTCCTGGCACTTCCTATCAGTTGCATGGCTAAGCCCTCCAGATATTTCAGTACATAGAGATATCTCTTTCTTCATGAATTTGTACAGAATCTGACCAGGGACAGCAATGCTGGACTTAAAATTGCTCCAGAAGATGTCACAGACTGTAGAGGTGATGGGAATTGCAAACTGCAGCGGACAGAAAAACAGATGGAGGAAAAGCAAAGGGTGTTTTAATGCCCCTGAGCAATTCACAGGGGAACACTCAGGGTCACTTGCTTGTCCACAAACAGATTGATGGTTTGTGTACAGACAGGTCAACTTCACGCATTCAGCATGACAGATTTGTCTGCACTGTACATTTTCACTGATTGGGATTTCTCACCTATGGCAAGCGGTAGGAGGCCAGAACACCTGGGGGTTAATGGTTTGAGTCCTTCCAGCAAGGACGGGCTGGCTGAGCACTGCACCCCTCATGTGCCTGTTCCTCATCCCATTCTACCAGATTTAACCCTCTTCAGCCTCCTTATCTCCTATGTGCAGCTGGAGATGAAGCCAAGAGAAGTAAGCACGACTACCAGCAGCTTGGTACTGCACCATTGCCATGAGAGGCCCTGGACAGATGAATATGGCCTCAAATCACATATGGGGACACCAGAGGGCAGAGACTTGCCATTGCCACTGCAGTGCAGTCTCCCCAGATGCACCTGATCCCACAGGCCATCCTTCCAGCTCTGCTAGGGTTTCCTGTGGAGAGCTGGGCAGGAACAATGGCTCAGGATTATCCCCTAGGCACCTGCAGCATAGTGCTGTGGTGTCCAGCACAGCACCTTCAGGGCAAGTCTGCTCCTCTATCACAACTGCACTCACCATATCACAGACAAATTCATCAGAGGAGGCAGCAGAACTTGTTTTAGCCCAGCTAGGCTGCAAGATGGTCTCTATGAACCCCACCATTTGTGTTCCAAAAGCATCTGCACAGTCTGCCTGTGTTTTCCCTGCAGTAAACAGAGGATGACCTCTCCAATAAAGGTTAAAAAAACAGAACAAAACAAAAGAACTCCCTGATGAAACAAAACCATTTGTGTACAGGCTTCTTCCCTTGGTTAAAAAGAAGATGGAGAAATGCTGATAAATATTAATCCTACTGCTGGATGCGGAGCCCGGTGCCCTGGCAAGATGCCTGCATGGCACAGAGACCAGCACCATGGTCATCCTCTGAGCTGGCTGCCATCAGTCCAGAGGCAGTGGGAGGCAGCCCTACAATGCCTCAGGTCTCTCCTGGACACGGGACACTGCTGGTATGCATGCTGATGAGCTTGGGACATTGCCCATGCCAAATTCAAGAAATGGATGGGGATTAATTTCCACCCTGTGTGCTGCACTGAGTGCCTGGTGAATGGCAGCGGGGCCAAGGTGAGGCTGTGGCCAGCGAGGCACCAGGCAGGGCCTTCCCCTGGGATGCTGCCTTGTCCCCAGAACTGGGAAATGCTTTGGGTTGGCTGCGCTCTGTACCATGGCTCTGCAGACCTCAGAGCTGCCCTGAGGTGTGGCAGTATTTTGTGACAGCATCCCTTGAGGAGTTTGGGATTACAGTTGAACAAATGGAAGAAAATCCACCTTGCAAGGAAGATATTAACTTTTAAAGCAATTAGTTCCCCAGGTTGGCCAGGCTGGAGCAGCTATGGTAAGCGTAATTGAAATGAATAGAACATTTGAAGAGGAAGGATGAAAACAGGGCAGCTGGGAAAACAAATGTTCTTTCTTCTAATTATGCTGCGGACTCTCTCTAATGGATCCCCCTGAAGCTTCCCGATAAAGTAAGTGGCATATGGTACCTACGTGCAGATGGATTGGCAGGGGCAGAGACGCGATTCTGCAAACCTGAAAGTTGTGTTGGATTTGATACACATTTAAGATCTAGTTAATTCATATAGATTGCATTCTGCATACAAATGAACATAAAATGCAGTGCACAGAGAAAATCTGATAGGCAAAACTGACTTGCAAAGAATCAGAAAAGGTAAATGAGGTATAGCAGGGGAACTGAGGGAGGAAAACATGAGAAATGCAGAAGCAGCAAACATATGGAGGATCCAAACTGAGAAAAGAAAAAAAAAGGAAAGAAAGATACGGTAGTGCAGAAGTAGAAAAATAGATCCTATTTTTCGATACCACCATTCCTCCTGCACTTGGTTCATAAATAACTGAGTGTTGTTTAATAGGTTCACTGTCAGTTTACCCAGGTTTGCGTAACTTAGCCTTACGTAATTTCTGAACTTTTCTCAGATGCACCTGAGAGCAGATACATCTGGGAGGTCTCCTGGAGATACTCCTCAGTGAGCAGTTAAAAGCCATGCCCAGAAAGCAGGTGAACAGCATTCCCTCTCCCTGTGTTGGGCTGTTGGACAGATGACATTATTACTATGGGCATCTCAAGTGGATGATGATGTGAACTAAATTATAAATGTCAAACAATAAAAGGCAGGTCCCTGTGTTACTGCTTAAGTAGGAGGCTGGGCTGGATTGCTCCTGAGGTCCCTTCCCCCAGAACTGTCCCACAGGTCTGAGAGGAGGAAGTAAAGCAGCACTTTGCTCTTAAAACAGAGTTGGAAGTCATGCACTATGCTCTGTTAGGAACTCACGTTTTACTGCTGTGCACTTTTACTCCACCCTGAGCGGACTCCGATGCATTTGGCATCCATGGTCCATTATGGCCTCTGGTTGCAGAGTCCCAGCTGGGCTCATCTCTTCAACCCATCACTGCTTCTTCCCATCCTCCCACAGATTTGGGGCATTTGCCATAATAAGTGAGATTACTATAAATGTTCTGCACACCGAACCTCTTCTGCAGTAGGAGAAAAGTATGATTACCCTCAAATAGATATATTTAACTGTGGCAGGACCAGCTCTGATTTGCTGGGAGCAGTGCCCCTCATGGCCGGGCTCAAGAATGGGAGGGACCAGAAGCATTGGTATGGAGGTTTCTTCTTCCCATCACACCATGCTCAACACACACCTGATAGTCACCATCACTGCTGCAGAGCTCAGTGATGCTGGCAGGCTACGTCCTGGAGCCCAGCTCATGAACTCTCTTGATCTGCTTCTCACAAGACACAGCAGGGCTCCTGCTTTCCACTCACTGATCTTCCACTGCCTCCATCACCCTTGAAGCCAGCTTAAAGCAGATTAGTGTGGCTTTCACTGCCATCCTTCTTTGCCCCAGGTACAGAAGGAGGAGCTGCTGAGCACTGCCTTACAGGCATCGGCCACATTCCTCCCTTCCAGCCCCTCTCCTTCCCCTGGTTGAGTCCTCTTACTGTGAGAGAAAACATAATTGAAAAATAGTCTTTTCTGCCTCTTCCACTTTCCCACATAGCTTGTACATAAAAGCCAAATCATTACCTTAGAGACTAATATGCTAATTGTAACATTTGTGATCTGGGAATTTCAGAATGTTTACTGAAGAAGTTATTATTTCACTGTGAAATTGCTACCATGCATTCGTCAGAATTCCCCAGACAGGCGAGCACAAGCTCGGAGAATACAGAGCAAGAGATTTTTTGTCCTGGTGTAGGAGACACCCACCAGCTCCTTATTTTCTCTGCTCCAGCTGCATTTCCAGAGAGGCAGGAGCAGAAGGTGAGCTGCCAGCACAGCCCAGCTGGGGAGGGAGAACTCTCTCATTTTATTTTCCGTTGCTGGCCACCTGCTAAGCCACAGAAACACTGCCTTCAAACACCAGCAAAAGACTTTGAAAAGAAATGGGGTGGATGGGTCTCTTGGCTTTTAATGCTTGATCACCGATGTGGAAGTACAAAAAACAGCTTTCTGGTTGATCTATGGCATTGGATCTGCAGGGTGGAAAGATGTGTATAGGCGTTGGGAGCTGCAGCCTTCTGAGAGAAGGAGCCAGGTTAGGGTAGGCATAGGGTACGGAGGCTTTAAACAGCCAGCAAGGGCAAAATGCTGCTTTCTTTACCTAAAGAGCTTGGTTCCAAAACAGTGCTTCTGTGAAGGGCCCAGTTAATGCACCACTTGTATTTGGTGACCAGGAGGAGCATGTCACCTGCCATGTTTAGCCAGGTAGCTCTCACTGGGTAACAACTGCTTACACACTCCTGAAACAGCAATTTCCCCATGTATTCTCAGTTCTTTGGAAAATATTGGGCAACTGAAAAGCAAATAGTTATGCTGTACTCTGTGAGACAGGAGTAAATAAGGTTTTTCCACATCCCTGCTCTCAAATGCAGATACATGAGTTTTCATTAGTGAAACTAATTGGTCCAGAATCAACGGGCAGTTCTCCTGGCAATCGCAGGTTTGATGCCTTTGAAGTTCATTCTACACCTCGGTAGTCCAGCAGAGATAAAGCTCCCAAACTTTCCCATCTGTGCTCAGCATGCTTCCTGCTCCCAGTTCTGTGGCAGAGCAGGAGCAATACAAACCACCTTTTTGTGCTGAAGCCTCTTCAAGCGGGGTTTGAAACTTTGGCCACTTTCACCCAAGAGTTTTAAAACATGCCCACGCGTCAAGTGTCAGACCAGGGGAGAGCGACTCAAATCACCCCCCAAATCCCTCATTCTGCCCTCTAGCAGTCAGACTGCTGCCAGACACCTCTCTGTCACTGTCACCAAGAAGCCTTTGGAAGCTCCAGACTGCCCAGAGTGAAGAAGTTGCACCAGATCAAAACAAGCATGCGGGCTCTTTCTATGCATGCAAATAAAGCAAAAAAAATGATGGATGATTTAGACTAAGGGGAAGAAACAGCTGCTTTAATCATGTTAATAGAGCAGACTAAGCTCTTCATTGTTGTTTCCTCCTCTCATAAGCTCTCTGATTCATGCAAATCAAGGAGACAACAAAGGGGAAAGGGTTGGAAAATCTGTCCACCTCCCTCAGCCGAATACCAAATGAAAAACAAGGAGAAAACCACACTATCAGCCACGTGTTTGGATGGTTAGTAGAACACACAGTGTTCGTATGTTGTGAGATGTTGTGGGCCACACAATCAGAATCCAATGATTAACATAACTAACTTCTCCTTGTGGAAAAATCCCAAAGTTGTAGCAATAGGGAAGTACCTCTGCTGTAGTAATTTGGTATATTCTTATCAGGTGCTGATAAGAAGGCTTTTGTTTACAATATCCATTGGTTTTTGATCAGCTCCTAGCAATGCTCTGCCTATCAGTATTTCTATATTACTTGTCAATGTACCGATAGGTTAGAATCATGGAGCAGAAGTATGTATAATTATAAGATTATACCAATGAAAGGAAGGTTTGAGGAGCACCTGAAGAGGACCACAGTATCAACATCTGGCTTTGAGGCAAATCTAGATCAATATTTGGCCAACTTGTTCTTACCAACTTCTGACAGGGCACATTCCCAGCCTCCTTGGATTGTCTGTTCAAGTGTTCAGTTCCTATTATAGTAAAAAAGGAATTCTCTGCCTCCAAATGTTCATCTTCTGCAGACTAGGGCAGCACTGTATTCCCATTGGAAACAAGGAGCAAGCAATCACCATTCTCACCACAAGAAGCCTGCTACTATTCCCCTGCTTAAAGTTTTGTGCCTAGTAGCTGAGCACAGCTGTGCAGGAGGGGGCTTCAGCAAAAATGCATTTCAATCTGTCCTCTGTTATTTTCTTTTTGATAACAGTCTGCACTCTCCTTAGTCTTCCTCTAATACTGATGTATTCATAGGACTTTTTTTTTTTGCTGTTTGTCCTTCCTCACCACATCAACTGCCAATGTGTATGAGCAGTGGGACCAAGCTTTGGCTGAGTTCCCTGCTGCTAACCCAGCACTGATGGAGCTCCTTCCAAGGCACTGCCCCACATGCCCTAAGCAATTCCTACTAACCTCTGTGTATTGCTGAATGACATTTTCTGGAGTTGGACCAAGGAAGACATAGAAGTCAAGGATCCCTCCAATAGTACGGAAAGTTAACGATGGGTTCGGACTCAGAGAAACATCTGAAAGGAAAAAAAACAGGTACTCAGGACTAACTAACTTTGCACAATGAGTACACGTGCTGGTCTCCTCCAACCATTAATGTGTCCCCCAGGTAGAGGTGCTTGGGGGTCATTCCCTGATGCTTTGCCATATGATCCAATGGGAACACAGGACCTGTACACAGGCTAGCAATTGTTCAGACTTTCTGCAATCTGCATCTTCTGACTGGCATCATGCAGCAATAAATCACAGAAACCCACACAGATAGGTTTGCCCAGAATCATTTGTCTCAGTTTCATTTATATCGCAAGGAACCACAAGCTTGTGCTTAGTGTTCCTCTGTGCTATTTTAATCTTCCTATTGGAAGTCATTGCCTGCCAGGAGAAACTGATTTTATAGACTGAATGAAGATTCCCCTTTTCTGAAATTATACTATTGGATTAACACAGTAAGGTGACCATGGCAACGCGCAAAACTACTCGCTGCAGACAAAATATAGGACTAACCTAAATTGATTTGATTCAGTTATGCCAGTCCCAGAGGAAATTTATTCCACCTTCTCCTTTCCCTGTATATGCATCTATTTTTTAAAAAATTAATCATATCTTTTCCCTGAAAATGCCTTACCTCTTTTAACAGTCATTCTGATGGAATCTCTTTGAAAACTTTGTAGCAATTACTGGAATCTCAGTTATGCAGCAGCCAGTTGTATTGTATCACATTGAAAAAGCAATCTCCAAAACAGTATTTTTGAGTGTGTGTTTACTAATTTACTGCCTTTCTATATGCAGTCAGTATAGGGAATCTGTACATCTTCCTACCTTGCGCATTGGAGTTCAGAAGGAGAACGCCGTGGGCATTGGAGTCATCCTCTACACACATATAGAAAGGGTGAACGCCATAGAGGTTGGCGAGTGGCTGAAACAAAAGCAAAATGTTAGGTATAGTTAACTTTTGCCATTTTTTCATGCTTTTGGTCAGCTAGATATGTATTCAAAGACAAGGAAATTAATTCATTCATAGTTAGAGACTTGTTTCAAAAGGTTGGAGATTTTTTTCATATAAAATGGCGTGAAGTCAAACTGTTAGAACAAGAGCTGTTTTTCTGCCTTGACACAGTGCTTCTTATTAGCCTTTCTCAATACAACCTTCCGTATTCTGCTACACCCTCTGAAAATGCAAGGGTAAAGCATGTTCTTCTAGTGAAATTATTCATCATCCGTTGACCTCAGTATTGCCAAACTTTTAATAAATCCTGCTGAAGCCCAACTTGTTTGGGTGAATGGGGATCGATCAGGGAGCAAGATTAAATGCTTTCCTGACCCAAGGTTTTGATACATAAAACATTCATTTTCTGATAAGTACTGCACCATGAGAAAGACTCGAATGAGAAGCATCAAATTCTCCTCAAAACGACTTATGATTTTGTCATTTAATTAAAACTTATGACACCTGCAATACACACGGCATTCAGTCTTTGCCATCAGCTCCCATCAGCAGCATCATCATGCACTCCCTGGGCAGAGCTCTGCCTCAGCACTGCCTTGTTGTGATACAAACCCAGAACAAAATGCTGCCCAAAGTGAATTACCGTGGGTGCCTGGTCCCTGCTGAACATTCCGTAGGTAACAAAATCCATGTTGTGTTTGAAGGACACATGCTCCTGCTCACCGAACCCGTACACCGAGGTGGATGGCACAGCTGTGGTGATCTGAAGATACTGGTTGGAGAAAAACAGATCAACCAGGGGACTGTCCCACCTGGGACACATGGAGGGAAATGTGGTTAGTTTGCTCATCCTTGGTATGCACCATTTTAAGCACACATCCAGTTATTTACAATATTTCTGTACTTTGGAGAGTAATAACATGAAAAATGTTGAGCTCTATGTATGCTTCTAATGTACTTAACACACATCAAATTCATCTTGCAATGACTGCAGACATCTTGTCTACTTACACAATAAAATGCCTCAGTATAATTTTGAAAAGAACAACTGAAATAAGAGAAGACACTATCTATAATCCTATTACCAAAATAAGTCGTTTCTTGTGCTATTTCTATGACAACCAATGGGGCAGGCTAAAAATTGTTATTACACAGTGGGCTTCAGAATGCTTAGTGAGAACAACAGGCACTTGATTGTTATCTGCTTCAACTTTCTAACGCTTTGCAGGGTGAGGACCAGATGCTTTTCTTTTGTTACCTCAATTTTATGCAGAGTGCAGCAGAGTGACAGCGTCCTCCAGACTCTGCTCGAATCAGATATTTATGTTGTGATGGATCTTCCCTTGCTTCTCTCACCAGCCTAGTGTCTTTATTGCTATTGACTCGTCTGTGGACACGGGCTCACATTTTAATTAGGTGTTACATTCTGTTTGCTATCTCCAGTGCTATAATGAGCAGAAGTCTAGATGGGGGAGAGCATAGTCAAGCTGTGGAGAAGTGTTTCATTAATGGTGCTGTGTATGCCATGAGTACCACATTTAGATAGCACCCTCTCGAGCCTTGTTTAACCATGAATGTGTTACAGCTAATTAAAATAAATGAGCCAAAGAGACAGAGCGTAGAAGTGGTATAACTCTCCTTTTAATGATCTTTTGTCAACGATTTTGACAAAATCAAATGTTTGATCAAATTAACCAGTAAATGGGCGTAGTGGAGGACACACCACACTATGAGAGGGCCACGCAGCCCTGCCTGCCACCCACCAACCAGCTTGGGGACCCTCTGCCTCTGCTTGCCAAAGGTAGGCATGATCCATTGCTGCAATCCCAGGTGAGCCCTAAGTCATATACCTGTCCTGAAGGGTGTGTGCCTTCTGTAAAACATCTATATGGCCTTTTTGACAAGGAAGAAAACTAATGATTTGCATTTAACTTTTGTCTTAGTTGCTTACCAGCAACAACTCTCCCTCCTTTCCAGTACCTCCTCTATCCATGAGCACTGCTGAATAGAACTGTTTTCTCATAGAAAGGCTAATGCACCCAAAATATTCCCGAGAACCAGGCCCTGGAAAACAGGTCTTTCTGTGAGAGGCTGCTGTGCTCTGGTTCTGTGTGGCTGTCTGGAGGAGTGCACCGCATAGCAAAGGATGCCAGAGCAGAAATGCTTTGGCAAGAGCTCTAATATTTGTCCTGACTCACAGAGCACTCTCAATGATGTCTGTTCAGAGGACATGAGGCTTTGGATGTCTCTGGCACCTGCATTGTGCCACTGACATTTCCCATGCCAAGCACAGTGCTACCATAGCATTAGAAATGTTCCTTACCTTTCACCACCTCTCCTGGGCAGAAAGGTACCAGGTGCTGCAAACCACAGCCCTGTGAACAAAACCTCTACCCCAACAAGTCCCCAATAGCATGAAGAGACCCTAACATATGTCATATATTTCCCCATGGCACTGCCATGAGCTCAGTGTCTGCATGGGATCCCAGAACTGGGTCCCATTCTGCAGCCCCATTTTAGCCATGATCCTCCATCAACATGATTCTCCTATCACTCTCTGCCCAACACAGCACCACACACTAAATACAGCATTAACAACCACATAAAAAACACAGGTTATGGCTCCCTCATTTTTTCTAGACACCATTGTGTCTCCTCCATTTAAAAGAGAGTGTGGTCAGGTTTTGCCCTGGCACTGCTTCTGCCTCCCACCCCCAGCCTCTGCCCTACATGCATTGTGGTTGGCTATTCAGACATTTTCTTGCAATGTTTGCTAGCGTTCTCTTGGCAAAGAGCAATTGTTTATATAAAAAACCAATGTCTGACGTTCCTCAAACACTTGGAGTTACTAAAGGGAAATGTTAGGTTTCTCCCACCTCCCCTCCTTGCTTCTTAAACACAGACAGAAGGAATGAAACAGGATGGAGCATGAAATGACACTATGTGTGCAAGAATCTGCACGATCCCCCCCCAGCAGCCTTGCAGACAGTAGCAGTGCTGTGATGGACAACAGCACTATGCTTGAGGAGGTTGGGCAGGGCATAGGTAGAACACTCCACCCTGCCTGCACTGGAGCTGGAAGCCAATGTTTTCACAACACTGAAGGGAGATGACTACAAGGCAATGGTTTCAGAAGTGGAATCACCAGGCCTTAAGTGATACTCAGATGCTTTGCCTGGCTGAAGGCCTTGGCTGAGCCACATATCTCAGAACAGGACAGCTGCTGGCACAAGCTGGGACGCCCTACAAAACCTCCACAACCACAAGATTTGGAATAAATACACAGTACTTCATTAGGAATGCACATAGTGATTCTCAAAATTGTTTTAGGCTGGGCCTGATTTTTTCCTTCGTTTTGCCTTGAACCCAAGGGGAAACGATCTTGCTGCTTTAAGCTGTGAACACCCCTCTCCTGCTCTGACTGACTCGGTGAGAACATCCTCTCTAACATCTGCTTTCCTTGTCCTCCAGACCCTTTGAAAGTCACAGCCACGTGAAAAGCTATGAATACGTACGTGGAAATAAAGGTGGAAAATCCACACATCTATCAGAGAAGTGGGTCCAAGCCTCCCAGCTGAGCTTAGGCATACTATTGCTATGAAGCCAGGAAGGCATCTTTATGGCTGAGGATCACAGGCCCTGTGTCCAGGAGGTGCCCAGATGCACCCAGCCTGCCTCACCCCGCTCACATTGCTGGGCAGCAGCAGCACAGAGCCCAGGCTTCCTCAGTTTTCCATTGCACTCAGACTTCTGAAAGATGTTTCCACTGTCTCACAACAGCCACACTGCTTCTTAACTACACATCCTGGGCAGACCCACTGGCCTGCAGAAGATATGCCAAGAATATATATATATATTTTATGTTTATCTTACTTTTAAGATGATTTAATGAATAGGAGGAGAAAGTCAGTGCCAGCAACAAATCTTCCACAAGTGCGACAATTTAAAAAACACGTTGCAGGATATATTTACTGTTACTGACAGAGCTCTGCTCTACTTCTACTGAATTCATCGTCATGGTATCAGGGCATCTTCTGTAAATGGCTGGATACATAATGCTTCATTTTTGTTCCAAAAAACACTTGAATAAGTGATATGCCTGCAATATTTCTCGCCTACATAGCATAAATCTTAATGATTAGAAGAGTAAAATAATGGCTCTTGCAAAGCAGGATCAAATCCACGTTACCCATGACACGTACAATTTGCTCCCGTTGCTTTCAGCAAAACTGCAGCTTAAGACAATAGCATTATAAATCATTCTAATAGCCTTGCCTATGTAAAAACATCTTCACGGTAAGTGGCATCCATGCTTACTACCACAATCAATAAAAAAAGCAGCTGAGCTCTGCAGCAGCCTTTTTGGAAATGAAGGAAAATCTTGATTAGATTTTTGTTATGTGCGCCATGTCCTCCCGAGTGCAAACAAAATATTCCTAACTCTTAATAGAGAGAAGGGAACATTCATATGGCTTGGGAAAAATGTTCTGCCCTCCATTATTCACGATATATGACATCGTGAAGAAAAATTCACTTGAAGAACAGATATTAAAGTGCAGAATCAAATCAATACTCCATCCTCCTGCAGCCTGCTCTCAGCAATGGCCCGTGCCGGGTATCACAGAGGCATAAGATGTCACTCAGAGACAGCCCTGCAATAATCTGCTTACAGAGGAAGTTTCTGGCTGTTTTCTTAGAATTAGCTTATGTTGTGAGACACAGAGACAGAAACATTTTTTTTGTACTGATGATTTTTCTATTATGCATCAATGCGCATCCTGCTAACTCTCCCGTGTCAGCACAGCCCTGGGGCAACGAGTCCCACAGAGGAATCACACACTGCAAAATTAGAATGTCTTTGTTATTTTTCGCTGCTTTAAAGCAAACAGTTTCTGGCCTTTTACTCTCTGTTCTTAAAGAAATCAGAGCTTTCTTTAAGCCTTCATACTCATGCCTCATACCACCACCAACAGCAATTGCTGTTGTTTGTGGCAGGAGCGGAAAAGAGAAGAGCGTTCAGCCTGGGAAAGCATGCCACTAAATGCAGAGCCTCCTGTCTGTTCCCTCACCTGTTTTATTACAGCCCAGCATTTTCTCTCCTGTTTTCACTTGCAAAGGGCCCTGGCCAATGACAGCCCAGTTTCCCAGCAGAGCTGCAAGATCAGCTAGGATAGCATGAGCAACAGCTTAGTCACTAAAGCTGACCGCTAACTTTCGGCCAGTTTCGGCCACTCTGCCAAGATAGGTGTTTTGCTCCAGATAACAGGAGCGAGTTTGGGAAATTCACCTTCCCACAAATTTGGCAACTTCATCTTCAGGACAGAAGACCTGGCTTCAGTCCCTGTGCCTCGTGGTTCAGATCTAGGACTTGTAGCCCTCCATTTTATTGCAGCTTTGGGTCGCATCCCCAGCACAATGGAGAACACCTGCCACCTGCGTAGGAATAGGTCTCACCCAAGCTGGCAGACAGGTTGGCTCCTCTCTCTCCCACAGCTTCTGATTACTCTTGGCACAGGGAAGACATGCCCTCACCACTAATGGCACAGCAGGAATGCAGGAGAGGGTAAAAACAGTGGGACAGAGAAATGAAAGCAGTGAATGAGAAGAAGAGAGGTAAGAGGGAGGAAAGCCAAGGAAGAGAAACGAAGGCAGCACGAGAGCTGCTCACCAGCAGCTGTTTGTCCCAGAGCCACCAGCAGCGCCTGGATCATTTCTCTGCACCATCCCGTCTGATCCTCACCCTGTGCAGGCAAAGCAGAGCCCATCCTTGATTACCTGAAAATGTGGCTGTACTTGGCTTTTTATTCCTGATCTGGACTCTGCATGAGGTTTGCAATCAGCTGCTAATGGCTCTTCCCTGATATAATTCATTCCTCCCCCCTCTTGTCATGATTGCAAAGCACTGGATTTATCCTGCCCTCCTCAAGCCAGCACTCAGGAGGCTCAGCTATCACAGAAGCTCCTTATGTGCAGCTGGGAGGAACGCCTGTAAAGCACATCCAGGAATCTCTGCAGACTCCAGGTTCCACTGCTCTGCTCCGCAGTGCTGTGGATGCGGTGATAAATCGCTCCTCAAAGGAGGAGGCAGTGGGAGCACAAGTGGCAGAGCTGGGATGGGCTTTTATGTCAGGCAGATGGAGCGGGACCTTGCCACCAGCTGTCCTGCCATCCTACAGCTCCTGCGTCTGCAGCTTAGAATTACAGAATCATCTAGGATGGAAAAATGCCTTCAAGATCATAAAATCCAATCATCAACCTGACTTAATGAGGCCCATCTCTGAACCACATCCCTTAGTGCCATGCCCACACATCTCTTAAATACCTCCACAGATGGGAATTCTGCCATTTCCTTGGGCAGCCCATTCCAACAGCTGACCACCCTCTCCATGAAGAAATTCTAAATCTTTTCTTTGGCAACTTGATTGTCTCGCATCCTATTGCATGTCACCACGGAAGAGAGATTGATACCCTCCTCACTGCAACCTCCTGTTGGGTAGCTGTAGAGAGCAACGAGGCCTCCCTTCACCTTCCTTTCCTTCAGACTAAACAACCCCAAGCCCTTCTGTCACTGCTTGTAACTCATGTGGTCCAGTCCCTTCACCAGCCTCACTACTCTTCTCTGTGCACACCCTGTGCACACACTCAACACCCCTGCCAGGGGTGACCCTTCAGCCTATAACCACCACCAATGCCATTTGAGTGAAGCAAAAGCCCCCAGAAGCACAGAACTTCCCTTTCTCTAAGCAAAATGCTCCATCTCTCTGCTGACGAGGATCTTTTCTTAGCAGTGCTGCTCAGAGGCTAACCCTGCAGCCTGGGGTCACTGCAAGGACTGAGCTCTCTGCCAGCCCTCGTCATTGTGCAGGCACCTCTCCCTTCACTGTTCTAATTAACGAGCCTCTGCCAAAATCTCTCATTACAAAGAGAAGAAAATTGGGTCTTTAGCTTAAGCCCACCGCTTTCACAAAGCTGTTAAGTCTAACGAGAAATTAAATTATTTTTGTTATCGTGCAATGCATAATACATTCCTTTACAATAGCCTGCAAAAGGAAAACTTTACAGCATTGGCTGCAGTGCCCAAAAAGAGTCGGCATGAGGCTGCAGTTAAAAGGACAGACAGCTAATTAAAACCCAGTGCAGTGGTTCCATCTGCAGCCATTCTAGAGGCTGCATCACATCACACATGTGAAGCCATCCCTCTATTTAATGCACAGATAATGCTTATCTATTAAATCTGTTTAACAAAGTGCTTCTGGGAAAAGAAAAAAAAACAAACCAGTGATCTGACCTGCTCTGTTCATATTTGGGGTTCCACTTGGATCTCAAGGACCCTCTGGGAGTGCACTTTGCAAAGGGTTCATCTGCTCCAACACTGGTAGAGCTGGCTCCAAGGACAAGGGCTGGGTGTAGTCAGGAGCTTCACCTCAAAACGTGCTGCTGATCTGAACTAAAGTGCTAATACAATCATACCCACAGCCTTCCACTGACAGAGCACAATTTGCTCCTCTCTCACGAGGTCCTAATGGGAACATTGCCCACATTACGATGCCCTGTGCCTCTGCTCTGCCAATCTGAGTGATGCAGAAGTGATCTCACAGAGCGACGGGCCAGACCCACCTGCACCATCTCCTGCTTCCATTGGAATCGGTGGTAGCTGGAGCCTGAGGGCCCCTGAGGACATGAGCTTCAGTTTCTCAGGCCTACAGCTGGGAGAGCAGCACACGAGCTCATGCTCACCTTCTGGTGCATTGCAGCACCCTATATTTCAGAAAACAGTGCTTCAGTACTTCCACAACCTCAGAACGGCAATGCTTCAAGCCATGTGCCCAGAAACCAGCAGTCTCAAAGCTTATTTGGCTTAACAGATAATCATTCCTGCGTGCCTGTGGATAATCACTCATTAGACAGGCAGATACCCTACTAATAGTGAGGATTTTCAAGGAGTGCAACTGGATTTATGCTGGTTTGTGCTCGAGGCAGTGTCACACTGCAAAACCCAAGGTAGCAGCCGGCACTTTCCCTGTCACTCCTACTGCCTCCAGAGCGCGGAGCTGGCAGCACTCTGTACTCACAGCACGGTGCCGGTGCTCTTCCTCTTCACTTGGAAGTGCGAGGAGTCAGATGAGAACTCTACATCATAGTTGGCATCCTCGGCAGCCACCCCTGGGGCATCAATGCTGAGGGGCACCTCGAAGCGCTCCCGGTTGGGATCGTACACCTGGGCAGGGAAAGGCCGATGGTTAGCTGGTGTGGGGTTGGCCTTACAATGGCATCTTCCCCTGAAATACTCACCTTAAACCTGAGCCTGTCCTTCGTCTGGAACTCCACATCCATGACAATGGGAGAGATGTCATCACCAAACAGTGACAGCGTGCTGCGCTTGTCCAGTGTCACCCTGTGACAGAAACCATGCTCAGTCCCACTGCCACCTCTTGGTGCAGGAAAACAACTCAGCAGTTCTACATAAGCTCTTTAAAACAATACATCAGGCATCGGTTTTTAGAGAGAGAAAACCTGAGGTTAATCTCCCATTTGCTAAGATCCACCTCCTCGTGGCTGAGTTAGTGGCATTGGGCTGCTGACTGCAGCAGAAGTCTGGTCTCCCAGCACAGTGCTCAGCTGTAGTGAGATCACAGAATCATAAAATCACTGAACAGTTTGGGCTGGAATGGACCTCAGAGCCCACCCATCCCCATCCCCTGCCATGGGCTGGCTGCCCCCCACCAGCTCAGGCTGCCCAAGGCCCCATCCAACCCGGCCCTGAGCGCCTGCAGGGATGGGGCACCCACAGCTCTATGGGCAGCTGTGCCAGGGCCTCACCGCCCTCTGAGTAAAGAACTTCCTCCTAACATCTAACCTAACAATTCCTTATTTTAATTTAAGACTTTCCCCCTGTTCCAGCCACGGCACTGACAATTTCCCCCATCTCTAATTATTGGCTTTTCGTCCCTATGGATGAATTCAGCAACATGCAGTAGCTTTTATTTCACTGAGACTTAAGGCTAAAAATCAGACGACAAGGTCTTATATTGTTAGCTTGGCTCTTCTTGCCATTAACAGGCAAGAAGTTTCCTCAAGTTTCACCCTCAAGTTTCACCTGGGGAGGTTCAGGTTGGATATGGGGAACAACTTCTCCAAAAGAGTGGTGAGGCAGTGGCACAGGCTGCCCGGGGAGGTGGTGCAGTCACTCCCATGGAGGAATTTGTGAAACATGGAGATGTGGCACTGAGGGATGTGGTTAGTGGGCGTGGTGGGGATGAGCTGATGGTTGGACTAAATGATCCTAATGGTCTTTTCCAACCTTTCTGATTCTGTGATGCTATGATTCTGTGAAGTATGTGGTTTCCACGCACTGGTGGCATGAGCAGAACCCCAGCTGCACATGGCTTACGGAAACACACTTGCCACCCCCTCCCTCGCCAGACTCAGGCACAACGGCTCACTGCCAGCTTACCTCCAGCCTTTCGCTGTCTTCTCCATGCTCCTGGCCAAGGAGTAGCCATAGGTGCTGTCCTCAGAGAAGAAACACCAAGGAGCGTTGGGGACATCGGTGACACACCAGGTGCAGCCGCGTGCCTCGCAGCTCTGCTGGGTCGCGCCGGGCTGGGGGTGGCAGTTTACTCGTCTTGCTGCTGGCACCGTGCACTGCTCTGTGCTGGAGCCATGGCTGTGGCCTAAGGCTAAGAGAGAAAAAGCAGTCAGGGAGCTTGGAAAGACACACACACAGCCACAGAGCAAGCAGTAAGAGCTTCTGCAGTTACTCTTATTTGACGAGGTGTTTTTGCCTCACTTTGAGGCCAACACAACTCCCATGGCTGAGATGTCCTGAGAGCAGCATGCCTACTGGTGACCAAAATGAGCAAAACGAGAGGTTGTGTCCCCATGCCCCACATGTTGGCACAATGCCTGGTTCCCACACAGGGATCCGCTGAGGGCACCCTGTCACATGGTGTGGGGTAGCGGGCTGACAGCTGACTTCTGCCCTCTCAGTCATTGCCAGGGCAGGTTCAGGTTAGATATGAGGAAGCATTTCTTCTCCAAAAGAGTGGTGAGGCAGTGGCACAGGCTGCCCAGGATGGTGGTGGAGGCACCATCCCTGGAGGTGTTCAAGAAACGTGGAGACGTGGCACTGAGGGATGTGGTCAGTGGGCAGTACTGGTGGGGATGGGTTGACAGTTGGATTAGGTGATTTTAGTGGTCTGTTCGAACCTTAGTAATTCTATGGGAACTCGAGATTAAAGCTGCTTGAAAAAGAATTATTCTTTTCCATAAAATGACAGTCACCTTCGCTTTCAACAGTTTTTACATGGACTGGTGTGTACCTGGAAGCTTAAAATATATTTTCTGACATGGTCCACAGTTTTCCCATATAAAGAAGTTCACACAAAAATGTGCGCAAGCAATTATTGCATATACTGAAAAAAAATTACAGCATAAAACTCTGGGTTCACTAAGAAATTCCATCATTTGGCAATGTCAGAGTTTTTGTAGGTTGCTCTGAAAGTAATGCATCCTATCTCAGCTACTGAAGTCTATTTTTCAACACAGTCACCGCCATTAGCATCCACCATCACCAGCAATGAACAAGAGTCTGCACGCCACACAAAATCTGCACCAGCAGAGGTGACTCATGTGGCCACTACTGAAACACACCACCCACTGCCTTACAGTACTCGCATCCACTGGTTGGTCTCCATAGATGTTCAGCAAACATCAGTAAATGTCAATGGATGCCATTTTTTCTGCATGGAGGATTTCAGTGACACATCTTTGCCCACAGCATCAGAGGCAGATGTTGGTGGTACAGCAGTAGGGGTTGAACCTTCCCACCAATATTTCATTGCGTTTTGTTGCCATGTGACAGATGACAGCGGAGGGGCAGCCTGACACAATGGTGTGTGATACAGAGGCAGAGGTGCATATGAAGTAAAAGTGTGGAATCAGCCCACATGTGCCAGTTAACATCAGGGCAGATGGGGCACAGAGTAAAACCACCACATTTCACTATTTTTTCCCAGTAGGAATAAAATGCAGCATCGCTCTTTTCATTACTTACAACATGACTGAACACAGCAGAGCAGGTTATTGACATCTCACGGGAGACTCTTATCAACTTATTTCTATCATGAAATGCCTTCAAAACACTTCTTAAGGATATTGTGAATGGAAAGTTTGATGGGAAAAAAATTGCTTCCCTAGGAGCCAAGAAAGCCCCCCTTCTGCATGAAGCTGGAGCTCTCCTGGCAATTTTGGTAACACGCTCAGTTCTGAGCAGCTGAATCAGGCTGCAGCTTCTTTCACCTCTTGTTCCCTAAATTCCTGCTATCCAGACAGCATAATGGCAAGGGAAAGGTGCAAATTCCTCCTTCTACTCTTTTTTTTTTTGTTCTTATTTTTATTTTAAAGCCTTTGCATCATTTTTCCCCTGCATTTACTGCCTATGTTTGTAAGCATGTGTTGAAATGAAATGCAAAAGAGCAGCCAAACTCAGCAATAGCTGGGGCTACGTGCTCTTTTTCCCTGATAATTTCCATGGGAACAGAAGCTAAAGAGAGGGAGCTTGAAAGATAGAAATGAAAAAGCATTCCTGCTTGTTTTTAAAAACCCTGACTTTACTTCTACAAAATTGTTAGAGGGTGCTGCAATAAGGTGTGAGCAAGGAGTAAAAAATCACCACATTCCTTCTCATTCACAAGTACAAGTCCTTGCATTGTGGGCTCACCTTCACGTTTGCTGCTTCCCTCTACCCTTATCTCTCAATACAATGAGAATCAGCTCTATTCTCTCCTTATTATACCCCAGACTGATTCACCACTGATATACGTGGGTAAAAAAATCCCAGGAAGCAAATTATCCAAGGTAACATTACCTTTCAGCAGCTGAATGACTTCAGTCCATCTGCTCTGGTACCAAGAGCTGAATGCACCGCTGGACTGGGGTATATTTATAAAATGAGCCAGCACTGTTGCCTTCCCATAGAGGCACCTCAGATGGAGTTCAGCCCTACGCCAGTCCTCTCCTTTTCCATGTGAAAAGAGCTCCCACCCCAATAGCTTTCCTGTTGTTGCTGTGTTTAGATCTTGCTTTTAAGTCCTGTGACAAAAAGAAGTCCTGTGCACCTACCTGCCAGCACGGTGACCAAGAGCCAGAGCCCCCTGACCCCATCCATGGCTGAGCACTGACGTCTGGCCGCATCCTGCAGCCTTATATACCAGGCCAAGGTACAACACACACCTCAATTATCTTGTTCTGATTATTAATGAGACATTATCAATATTTTCTCAAATCTAACCCCAAAAACTCAGGTTACTGTAACATGTGGCCTTGCAATCATTAAGCAGCAGATAAGATAGGGCTGGTGACAAATTTGTTCACAAACCTTGATAAATTTCTCAACTCCAGCTTTGAGAGAGGATCATTTTCCCAAGACTTCCCAAAAATTATTTCCCAGAGACTCTTCTCTCCTTATAGAACCCCCCCCAGAGCCCTGTGTTTACCCTTTTCTGATTTATCTTTTGTCAGATACACAACTTTATACTAAAATTAAATGTCTGGAGAAAAACCAACGCAGTTGAAGAAATACCCATATAAACAAGGACTGGGACTCCGACCTTTACAGAATGACAAATTTCCTCCAAATATCTGATGGCAAGAACTTCCAGGATAAGCCTGTGTTGTACAGTAAGGTTCATTTTGATGTGATGTCTTCCCAGAGGAAAAAATAACTTTCTATACACACGTTATCAAAGAGTTATATTGGTGCTAGCCACAAGACAGCTTCATAAAACAAAATGTCTGTTTTCAAGCATTACCAGAGAGAAGCATCTGTAATTCAGACTGTTGCAACAACAGACCCTCACCATATGGTCCATTAACAGAACAGGCAGAACAGCCTGACAGCAAGCAGCAATTTCTTAGTTTTATAAGGACTTTTAAAAAACAGCAGTTGAAAACTACAGCGTTTGTATTACAGACTGGGAAAGCAGCAGCCCTGTTGAGGACATGGGCTGCCCAGAGAACCCAAACGTGCACCAACGCCTGAGGCAGGCAGAAGGGGTACCCTGCACCAGGCACAGCCTCTTGCACATAAATCCACTCCATTTCCTCAGGTCAACAACACGCGTGTGCAGGCACCTTTTAAACTCCTCAAAAGCATGAGAGGTAAGGAGCAGCAATACCAAACAGTGACTGTTTTAACTCCTAACCTGTATGCTGCTTAACAATACATATCATTACTTATTTCTGCCAAAACCTGGGCTAAATAGACTTAAATCACATGGAGTATGCAGTTTCATCTGCTTTCCAGCTGAGCTGAGAAGGAAATAACTTCTCAAAGATGAGTTAGGAGCTTCAGAGCTTTTCTTTGCTTGACACTGTGTAATAAGGGAAGAAATGATCTCTTGAGAACAGGACACATCTGCTCCATTTGAAGTCAGTACTGTACTTGGTACAAGGGAATCCTGCTAGACTTCCTGAGTACCACTGAAACAAAAACAATAGCAAACTAGAAGACAGGACTGGGATATCAACCCATGGGCTGTATTACCCACCAAGGCATTCTACTGTATTATGTAACACTGTGCATTTTCACATGTGGGGCCTTTGCAAGTGAACTGTTTATAAGGAATTATGAAGAAAAACACAAAGAAATAGTTCACATTCACATCTTTATTTAAAGTGTTACCTACACAAGCTATAATTTACAGACTTATATTTTTCTGGGGAAAAACAAAACAACTAAGAACGAAAAACCTCAACATCCAAACACTGTATCTGAATCTACATAAGTTTTTAAAATTTGCAGAATTTACAAATTAATATTCAGAGCAGTTGGCTAAATTATACATCCTCCCTCAATATCCACATTCTAGGAACTTTAAAAGTCATACAGGCACATGATAAGATATTTTCTTTATACAACCATCTATTTACATAGCTTTCCCAATACACGTGGTTCAGTTCTCAAAGTAACTGCCAAGGTTTGCAAAACAGTGTATTTAAAATACATTTAGCAGCATATAAAATTAGATAAAAAGGAAAGATATTTTGCTTTAAAAAAAAGAAAATGTGAGATGATAGAAACGAATTCATAAGAAAAATAGATTAAGGTATGCTTCTGTGATGATATTAAGAACATCTAGTCATTACAGATTATAGGCAAAACACTAATAAAACATACCAGTTTATGAGCATTTTAGTTCTAGTCCTGAGCACAGAGTATACACAGCTGAACAGCTTTGGTCAACAAGGATTATACCCTAACGTTAGAACAAATCATATAGCATTTGCTGTTAGCAGGACACAGTTATATCAGAACAATCTGCCCTAACAGCTTCCCCCCATCTTTTGTTCACTTCACTTCCCTAACAACAGGGTAAGCGACCTTTAAAATCTTGAAACAACATCTGTCATAATCAAAGGCTTATTAATAGGACATCATCAGTCCCTTGCTACCCTAAAATGCAACACAGCTGATCATACTTGTGAGTGAAATACAGCAGAGCACTCTTTTAATATATTCCTGGTTATAATTTTGAGATGGTAATTAGAGAAGACAGACTTCCAGTTAACTCAAACTGCAAGTGTTACACAAGTGCACACAAATTCAGCCATTATATATAGACATACATACGTGATCACTGAGATACAAGAATGCTACCCTTGGGTTTTTTTTTTCCCTACATACAGTACATACTTTAAGGACAGCAGGTCTAATAGAAGAGTTCACTCTTATTTTTCAGCTCATTCCAGTCATCGGCATTCACTTAATAAGTATGCAGCAAACTGCATAGGGTGCACTTCAACTTCATCAACATATTTATTTATGCCCATCATCTCAGTTACTGGCCAGATCTTCACTTGCATCTCCTGCATCAGAGATCTGGCCATCTATCACATTCCGAGCTTTCCAGATCCTCACAGTTCTGTCACTGAAAAACAAAAAACCAAACCAGAATTCTAGTTAGGTGATTAAGTTGGAGAGGGACCAAGACAGGAGGAAAAAGGCTGCAGGTGCCTCATTCAGAAAGGCATTTCTAGAGAACTGAGGAATTTGTCTCCTTAAATAGCAATATAATCTGCGAAGGTGAAGCAAACACTATGAAGCATAAGCACTCACTCATGTACTTGCTATTGAGAAGATTGCCTTAAATGGCAACTCCTGTATTTCTTATTTCCTTCTCCAAAAACAAACAGCAACAAAGAAAATACATCAGGATGCAGCAGTCAAACCAGACTTTAGCACAGCATAGAATTTTTCTCACTCAAACACCCCAAGTTCTGGAGGCCTTCAGCACAGTATTTACAAGTCCCAAAAGGATGAAATTTTCTGCTAATAATAAAATTTCATTTGCACGTGACCTAAGCATATTAATATCTTTAGATATTAATTAATAGGGACATCATCTCTGACAATTCCAACAATGCTTAGCACCAGAACATAAGACAACAGTGTTCACAGCTCCTGTGCAAAGCCTGCACCTCTCAGTGCAGTCCGCTCCACTTTACTTTCTTTGGGATTAGTTTAATTTCTTAATATGCCCACATTTACTGACGGAGCAGATATCAAGGTGTTTAAAGGACAGGAGGACAACTTGCAAAGCTTCTGCTCAAGGCCAGCACTTAACATGGCATTTAGAAACATTCCCACATGTCAAGAGTTGGTCCTAGCAGTGAACAGCCAAATTGCAGACGTGCAAGATGGTAAAGTACTCAGTATTGTCCAATTCTCCCTCTGCCATCCTGCACATCAGAGGTCTCTGAAGTGTTTTACTCATGCATGCCATCACTAAGAAATTACTGAGCATGCACTAACAATATATTTATTGTTATTCATCTATACATAAGCACCAAAGTTCCAATATTTTCTTCTCCCATCCTAAAGGATCACTTTCACATACCCTGCAGTGCACACGCTCCACTTCAGAGACCACTGCTGTAGGTTACTGGCACTTAGAGGCATGGACCAGGTCCTCCCACTTCTGCTAGTGACTAACACAGCTGAAGATCTAAATGCGGCAGCTAAAACTATATAAAAAAAGGGTTTATGGATAAGAAAAACTCACTCTGATGCCGTAAAAATCTGGCTGGAGTTGGTGCAGATTGCATTTATAGGACTGTCATGTCCCTTCATCTCCCCAATTAGTGCAAAGGTGTCCACGTTCCAGAGCTTGAGGGTTCCTCCTCTGCAGCCGCTGAGCAGAACTGGAGCACCAGGCACCAGGCCCAGAGCACACACCCAGTCCTTATGAGCATTAGGAACTTGCTGAAAAACAGAAAGCAGATGAATCTCATAGGGTGAAAAAGAATTATAGATGATTGAGCTCAGAAGCAGAAACTAAAAAAAAAAAAAATAATCTCGAGTTCTAAGCCCAATTCCTGTCCTGTGGTTGATTATGTCAACCCCTGCTACTACTTCTTCATTAGAGTAATGAGGTGCCTTTCTTCCATGAGGCTACTTCTATGTAAGTCACCTTGGGTTTGTTTCTCTTTGAAAATCAGTGTTACAGAACAAGAAAAAAAAAATCTAAAATGTACAACTGCCATGAGGTGGAACAGAAAATTACTTTGGGATAATGCTAAATCTATGCATGTTCAAATGCATATTTGAATGCACGTATGGCTGCTGTGGGTTTTTCAAGTCTGTCTGTAAAACTTAGAAAGCGAAAGAAAATCCAACACACCTATCAAAAAATACACCAGGGAAGCAAAAACCATTTGTCTTTCTCTTTTCTTATTTTCCCATTACAGTTTCTAAAATGATTTTATGATATGGCACTTAAAATCATTTATTATTTATTGAGGAAGGACACTAACATTTTACTGCTGATTCAGAAAGCAAAACACTTCACAGAATGGCTGAGAACAAAATACACCAGGGATACAAACACCAGGGATGCAATAGCTTGAGTTTGCTGTCTTCTAAGGGAAGTGGGACCAGCTCTTCTCCAATTCTGCAGGAACTTTTTGTTGCCTTTCCCACCACGGAGAAAGCTTTCAGGAACATCCTGAAGCTTTCTAGGAACATCCTGAGGCTTTAGCTATAATATACACTGCTTGGGATGCATTGCACTAAGTGAAGTAGATGATCTCCAAATTTTTTTGAATAATACATTTGCTGAGTTATTTTCATCAATTAAGTCTTCCACTCATGACTTATGTCTTGGAATG